ACACACCATTGTATGCTCCCTTGACATCGAAGCTGACCAGACTGACCACCTTTCTCTTTCTCCACGCTCTGTAGATGTACTCCTGCAGCAGTACCAGCGCCTGCTCTGCCGACCTCTGCTTGCGAGCGCCAAAGTGGCTCGTGGGAAGGAGGCCGAACGTCTCGACAGCGTGCGAGATACGTTCTGCCAGGACCGACTCCAGCACTTTTCCGAGCGTCGAGAGAAGCGAGATCGGTCGCCAGGCCTTCGCTATACCGTAGTCGCTTTTGTTTGGCTTCTTCAGCGGGATGATCTTTGCGTGTCGCCACTGCCTCGGCAACACCCCTTCATCCAGTGAGGTCTGGAAGAGTGTAAGCACCCTCTCCTTCACCACTGGCACGTGTGCTTCCACACTGCCACCGGCAGACCGTCCTCTCCGGGTGCTTTCCACGACTTTGCCGCAAAGAGCTGTCTCTCTACTTCTCCCAGTGTGAGGTTAGGGAAGGGTACCGGCGATCGTTGTGGCCGATCCCCCTCCTCCTCGATCATGCTGGGGAGAGGAGGGAAAAAATGTGGAGAGCAGCTCTTCGGCCTGTTCTGCGGCGTCTCCCGTTTGGGAACCATCCGCCCTTTTAAGTTGAGGTATCTTGTCGAAAGATGCCCCTTTACTGGCGTCGAGATACTTCGCGGCCTTCCAGATATTGGCGTCGTCGGCCAGAAAGTCCTCCCAATGGCTCTTCTTCTGTTGTCGGATGGCATCGTGATATTGCTTGGCTGCCGAGCGTGCGCGTTGCTCCAGTTCAGGTTGACTGTTACCTGCCCTTCTCTCCGCTCTCGCCCGGTTTCTCCAGTGGGTATGGATCTGCCGGAGCTGGGTGAGGTCAGCCGTCCACCATCTCTTTGCATACGGTGATGGCTTGGCCGTAGGTGTCAGTGCCTCTACTGCCTCGCACACCACAGACATCAGTCGATCCGTCTGTTGCTGCACCGTACCTCCTGTTGGCATTCGCCCTAGGTTTGCTTCTACTCTCTCATTGATTTGCTTCCATGGGGCGTTCTTGAGGAGGAGCCGTGGCCGGCTTTCCATCTCAGGCGCGGCGATGTCGAAGGTCGTCTCGATCGCCCGGTGGTCCGACCCGTGGTCCGTCTCGTGCAGGCCGCATCGTACCACCGTTCTTGCTAGCTCTTCGGACGCGAGGGATAGGTCGATCGTCGTTGCCGCATCGTTCTTCTCCCACGTCTTCGTGCCACGCGGAAGGAGGCTGCGGAGCGAGTACTCGCTCATTAGATCGATGATCGGGTCCGCCTCGCCCTGCCGGCCCTCCGACACATCGTCACCTCCCCACAGGTAGTCGTGGCAGTTGAAGTCTCCTACCAGAACCACGTCCACCCTCTCCCCTGTTCCTCCTCGGACATTCGTGATAGCTTGTCTCAGCAGGTCGCACGCCTGCCGCAGCATCTCCGGCCTCTGCACCGGCACGTACACCGACGCCACTATCAGTCTTCGATCCGGAAGCCGGACGATGGCCGCAGTGATATCCGAGGACGCTATCGGCAGCTGCTCTGTCTCTACGTCTCTGTTCACCCAAAGCAAACTCCTGATTCCCCATCTTCCTTCGTCCCTCCACTCCGTTGGTACCATCCTCGTCCACCTGCTATTGCCCATCGGAACCGTAATGACCTTACCTTCTATCCTCCGCGCCCATGGCTCCTGCACCGCTATGGCCGTGAAGTCGCGCAACGCCTCATCATTCATCAGACTTTCGTGCACTGCAGCCTGTTTCCTCACGTTGAGCTGAAGGATCTGGACCTTCCTACTCATGGGAACGCGGATACAGCTTCGGACAGTTCTTGCTGAACGACTCGTGCGGTCCGCCACAGGGCACACATGTCACGATCGTCTCACGGCATTCAGAGTGGTGGTGGCCTACCTTGGCGCATCGTCCACACACCCGGGGGTTTACGCACTGGTACGCCTTGTGCTTCGTGATCTGCTGGCAGTTGTAGCACTGCTGGGGGCGCGGCCGCCGTTCAAACGCCATCGTCGTGCCGGACTCTCCTCCAACGTGGAAGAAGCCCTCGGAGATCAGTCTACGCGCATCACCGGCCTTGGTCACGAACACGACCATGGACCCATACGCCTTGGGTATCTCTTTCTTGCTAAGCCAAGAAATCTTGGCAACCGTGGTCTCGTTTTCTCGGCTAAGTGCCTCCGCCGCTTCAGCCCTGACATTGCCCTTCTCATCCAGTACCTCAATTCGCTTCACGTTGTCGATCTTCACGGGATAGAGTTCGTCTCGTAGCACGCGTGCTCCACGGCCGAAGCTCTTCTCCGCGATCTGCTTGACATACCTATGCTCCGCATCGTCGCGACAAATGATCCGGATCCTATCCGCGTTCCTTGGGTCTACCGTGACGGCCAGACACCGCCAGCTACCCTGTCCGTCCAACGCGCGCATCTCCTTTTCCACCGCAGCCCGGATCCGGCCTGGGTTGAGCTTGTCGCTGCCTTCTTCAACTCTTGATGTATCGATCGTACAGAAGGGGTCGCTGCGGCTCGGCAGCGTCGCGTTGCCCGCCGTGGCTACCCGCGAGTCGCGACCTTGCCCACCTAAGCCGCTTCGCGCGACGTCCGCGTAGGACACACTTGGGCTGTTCCGCGTCGCAGCAACTGTTGCGAGTGCTTCGAGGTTTTCGTTCGTCTTGGCGCTTTCGTCCTCCACGCGTTCTTTCATCGCTTGCAGCTCTCCTTTGACGGCCTGTAGCTCGCTCTTGACTGTTTGCAGCTCCGAAGTGACCACGCGAAGCTCTGCCTCAACGTTTTTATTCCGTGCTTCCGACTTCTTCCACGCATCGAACATGATCTTGACCGCTGTGTGTAGCTCTTTGACCTGCTTGCCCATCGTCAGGAGCAGCCCTTTGTCGTCATCCTCTATGGGTTTCGCGCGTTCCTTGGCCAGGGTTGTGGCTCGCTTGGTCGTCGTCCGCCGGCCACCACCAGCAACCTCCGTCGCTCCGTCGGTCGCATTGTCGATTATCTCTTGATGAGTCTGGTTCAGTTGGGCTTTCGCGGATGGCTTTCGCACCCTTCGTGATGGCAGGTCCTCGTCGCTCGCTGCCACCGCCTCCCTCGCAACGGTGATGGACGTCGAATCTGGCTCGAGATCCATCGCGTCGGGACGTGCGCAGAGACGCCACGCGGTAGATCGTGCTAGTGCCACGTAGCGCGTTTCGGAGCTTCTCGACAGCGCTCAACCCAACAACGTCGAATGATTCTTCACACAATCAAATATCGAAAATTCCCCAATCCTCTGATCAATACTACAGTAGAAGTCGAATTTGGTTTCCGTCTTTCTTTGTCGTTGAACAGAAACGCTGGTGTAAGTTCGCCATGATGATGCCATAAGACGTGATTTCGCCCGGGCCACTAGTCGGCTTGGCCTAGTGTATGTGGTCCCGGCAATCGGTACTGACAAAACACATCGGCGCGGCACGGCAATCGGTACCCGCCCGGCCGTCGGTGTGGATGAGCCGGAAGAGGTGGTCTGCGCCTCTTGTCAATGTCAACAATCCCACGCCGGACAACGTATCTCCATCGCCCAACCAGTCACCACACGAGTTCCAATACCGATCGAGGGCATCATCCATGGATTGCCCGCCCGCGAAATTTTCTGACAAACCCACAGTTGGGTTTCAACGCCAGATGTGTTTCGACCGCTAACACCGCGGAAACGCACTTCGTTTACCGACTTGTTCCGAGGGACAACTTGAGTGTTCGCCGCGTCCAGCGCCTCTTTAAATGAATGGGTGGGAACCTCCGTCTCTGTCTGAGAGAGCATGAGAAATAGCTTGTGTTGTAAACCAGCCCAATGACTCGGAGTTGGTACTTCAACCAAGGAACTGAGCTAACCAAGGCTTCTTGGACTCCTTTGTCTCTTGGTCAACATTTCGACATCCACAAGTGACTGGAGATGAGATGACAGCACAGCTGTGAGGAGACTGAGGGCTTCCACTTGGGTGACCGCTCATTCATCGTCCTGCGCCGTTGTCTGCCTCCCTTCGCCAAAGCAGAAGCAGACGCAGACAGATATGCCGATTACGGCTCCCTGCGCCGCTGCGCCGTTCTGGAAAGGGCGTGGAGTCTAGGCTCCGGATAGATGGCATCTGGCCTAGTCTCTATGAAGTGACCAGTGTCTGGCGTTCGGTGTCTGGTGCAAAGCGTGCGTCTTATTTCCGCGCGGCTCCGGTTCTCTATCAGCGGAGCCAGCTCCTGAGGCAATGATCAGTTTTCGGTCGACATGGTGACTGGTGGATGACAAACTTATCAGCAGACGAAAAAAACAGCCAAGGCCAGGCTGTACTGCGTGCCTGCCAATGACCAACACAGTACCTTGGATGACTAAGGAGAGGTAGGGTAAGGTAGGCCAGTGCGTGATTCTGCGTACGCTAGAACGGCGATAGGGCTGTCCCGGCATCGTCCCTGACGTTCCCTCCCCTTGATGACCGGCGTCGGTAGATTCGGGCGAGGCTGATGGTCCCGCAGATCGCCGGAAGGTTCGCTCTTTCACACTGGGCTCCCAACTCACGTGTTCGGACTCCTGGCCAAAGATTTCTCCTTTCACCTTGGACGGAACCCGGAGATGACTGACCGACCTCAGAGTGATGTAATTGAGCCTCACCATGTCATTCGGACCGGGCCTCCTTCCCCCCTCAGCTTATCAGAAGTTCGGAACAGAATTTTTAGAGGGGTAACCACGTGATTCTGGCGTCCACTTTGGGGAATACCACGGTCCACGGCTCAAGGAAGGTCCCACGGGAGAGCTTGCCATGCGACGCCCAGCTCAGCCAATGGCGCGCCGCCCAAGACGTCGGGACACGGGAATTGCGGGGCCTCGTTCGGATCCGGACCAGTGACGGCGAGGCGGGGCACACAGTCAGACTTCACAGTGCACCATCGCCCGCCAGCCCTCCGCCGCGAGGCCCCATCCTTCTCTTTCTCTCTATCGTCTGTCGTCCAACCACGCGAACATGTTTTACCTTTCGAAACAATGAGGGCTACTAAGTTGAGCTGAGTCTTTAAGCTTTACCTTCACCACCACGCCGGGCCCCGAGCTTCTGTCTTTACCCCTCCTCCTCCTCCTCAGTCTCTCTCGCGCTTTCTCTTTTTCTCTCCCCGCAATCTTCCAAGCCACCGCTGCCGTAGCCGACAGCTGTTGCTGAAGGTCCCTCCTCCTGCATCGTCCTCTATCCGTCCCGTCTCTCAGTGCCCCGTCCTCCCTCCGTCTCAGCCTTGCCTGCGTCTCGGACCACCGTAGTGTAATCCCCGCCGTAGAGAAATATACGAAAGAGAGCATTTCCGCCATGGCCGACGCAAGCCCCGCCAAGTCAACAACGTCGCCCCGACCTCAACTAACCTCGTCCATGAGGAGCAGCTCCTTCCTGCGCGAGCACCAGCAGTACCGGCCTCCGCAGCACCCAGAGAGCCGCTTCGGCATCGACACCGTCGTCGAGGACCTGAGCAACGTCGCCGTCTCCCCGCCAAAGCAGCACAACCACAGCGCCGGCCACAAGCACTATGCGGGCTTCAACGGCATCCCCTCAGAGGACAACCCGCCCACCATCCGCAGCGGCCTGAACCACAGCTACTCGCACCCCAACTGCGCGCCCGCGGGTGGGAAGAAGCAATCGCGCTTGGTGGCCACGCTCTTCTACAAACCGGACGGCGGCGATGGCGCGGGCCACCATACGACAGTGGCTGGAGCAAGCGGCGGCCGCGTGGCATCCCCCCCGACCCTCACCTCCGACAGCGCCAGCGGCAAGGAGTCCCTCCCGGCCAACTTTGCGCCGACCCAGGACCCCGAGTCCTTCCCCCTCGAACCCCCGACCCTCGAACCCGAGAAGCTCGACCACCTATACGGCTCCCACGTCTCGCCCATGTGCGTGACCTCGTTCCTGCACCTCATGTCAACCTTCCCCCTCCCCGCCGGCGAGTCCGACTACAGCTCCTCGCATCGCTGTCTCGACAGCCAGGAGAACCCGCGCGTCGTCGAGCTGACGCTCGACCCGGCGCCCTGTCAGAGCTACCTCAGCCTGACGGATTTGCGGCGGCACGAGCTTATCTACCGCTTCGAGAGGGAGTGGAGCGTCGATGTCGCACTGCAGCCCGACACGCTGTGGCGCCGGCACCCGCGTCTCGTCGTCTTCGACATGGACAGCACCCTCATCACGCAGGAAGTCATTGACCTGCTCGCCGCGACGCTCACGGACCCGCCCGACCTGGCCGCGCGCGTCGCCGATATCACGCACCGCGCCATGCTCGGCGAGCTCGAGTTCGACGCCGCGTTCCGCGAGCGCGTGCAGCTCCTCAAGGGTCTGCCCGCCTCCTGCTTCGAGCAGCTGCGGCCCGTCCTGGATGTCACCAAGGGCGTTCCCCGCCTGATCAAGGCGCTGAAGCGCCTCGGTGTGAAGACCGCGGTGCTGTCGGGTGGCTTCCTGCCCCTGACGAGCTGGCTTGCTGGAGAGTTGGGCATCGACTACGCGCACGCCAACGAGGTTGTCATTGACGATGCTGGAAAGCTCACTGGGGAGGTTAAGGGTCTCATTGTGGGCAAGGAGCGGAAGCACGATCTGCTGATTGAGATTGCGGCCAAGGAGGGCATCGATCTGTCGCAGGTTGTTGCGGTGGGCGACGGCGCAAATGATTTGCTGATGATGCGCGCGGCGGGCTTGGGTGTTGCGTGGAACGCTAAGCCGAGAGTGCAGATGGAGGCCGATACGAGGCTCAACAGCGAGAGCTTGTTGGACCTGTTGTACCTCTTTGGATTTACGGGTGATGAGATTGAGCAGCTCGCCTCGTAGATTGGCGAGTGACTCTATGTTGACTTGTGTGTGGGAGAGTGGTGTTGTGGGCGTAAGTTGAGTGATGGTGTTCTGGGGAGTTGGGTGACACCGAAGGAGCCTAGGCATTGCTGTTTTTTTTTTGGGAGTATCCTTTACTCGCCTTCATGATTCAATTGCATGCCATTGAGTTTCCTGTTGCAAAGATGTTCAGATGAAATCTTCACTAGTCTTCGAGCATATAAAATCGGTCAATGTCGCTGGATGAGCCGCGAGGCCGAGTGATGTAATTCCAGCTTTGGAGATGCTGTCCAAGGTAGAAAAACGTGGATAAAACTGGATTCTCCCTATCTACACATGAAAATCACCTTCCGCCCATTGCACACATCGTGCATAAACGCGTCTTCTCAACGCAGGTATCTCTAATTCTCTAAGGGTAGCCGTCCTTGCCCCACTTGTTGTACTTTTCATGCAATTCCTGTGTCATGAAGCGTCAGCACGGCTATCTCCTCCGGCTTCAAATCCCGAAGAATCCCGGGCCTTGGAGCAAAGTCGACCTCTCACGAACAGGGTGCCCCCATCATGGCGGGATAAATCAGAAGGGTATATCAAACGCACCTTGGGGAGAGTGACATCGGGAATGATGACGGTGTTGACGGCGCTGGGAGCGTCTCTGGGCTCGTTTGCGGGGTTGCCACCGGGGTGGTACTTGTACTTGCCCTCGCTGTCGGTCTCCCAGGGCATACCGGCCTTCAGGACGGGGCTCTCGGAGGTAGAGGAGGTGGGGGAGCGGCCTACGCGGGGAGAAAAAAAGTCAATGGCTGTTCAATCGTCGAAAGGTATTTCACAATGGTTCGTCGGACGTACCGAAGTAGAGGCCGGCACCGCCGAGGGCAGCGACCATGACACCGCCGAGGATCTGTATGACAAAAAATTCCGATTAGCCTTCCATTACGGCTCTCTTGCGATGCACTTGTTTTGACGCCGCTTCCAGCCCGACCGTCCGCATCGCTCTGCGCAACTATCGCTTCTTCGTAGACTCGGCGAAGTATTCCGGCTGCTTCAGAAGATTGGCTTCGCGGGGAGAGGGATGCGGTGGACGTTGGACGGCGGACGGGTCGAGCTAAGGGCATCTTGGCTGGATGGACGGGATATCACGCACGAGGGTCTCGGGGTTGCGCTTGGACTCCTGTGTGAGGGTCTGCTTGGCCTGCTCGTCGGCAAAGCGGCGGATGGAGGTAGAGAAGGCGCGGCGGGCGACGAAGGAGGCCATTGTTGCGGTGGTTGAAGGGGTGTCGTTGGGGTGTGATGTTGTGAGTGGTTTCGGCTTGTCGTATGATTTCGGAGCTTCAGGTTCGTCGAGACAGGATCCCAAGGTTGAAATTCGGGAGAAACGATTGGCCGGGCTGACGGATGGAAGGTGATTGGTCAATCGAAGGCGATGTGGGCATTACCTCATCCTGCACCGGATAGATGACTCTTATGCGCTTAAAAGCTTCGCTTCATTAAGCCATATAATTAACTAACGGCTTTCTAGCATGTGAGAGTCCTGCTATGGCAAGTATCTACCAACAGTAGGAAACATGGAGATGCTTTTACTTTGATCCTGGCTGTTTTTGCGTTGTTTGCATCGACACATGGAGCGGCTTTCCAGGCTTATGAGGGGCATTAGCTGCAGGCTGAAGCTTCGCTGGCCCATGAACTTATCATATTCAAGCGTAATCTAGCGTGATTCTCCGAATTTTGTATTCTAGAACGACATTGAACACCGCGGGAGTAGATAGTGTCAATGAATAATTGAGGATAAATCAAGAGGCTGCCTTACGGTCTCTGAGAGGCTGGCGTTAAACTAGGAGCCGGGGGGACCGGTGCTTCTGAATATAGAGCTTATCCTGGACGATTCGTTGCATAGGGGCTTACGTGCTTGTCCTCATTGAAGTCTCACATTATGCCTGGCGAACGTCTCCGTGAGTATCAAGTTGCATCAGCAACCGATGTTATCGTGGTAGTGTTTATGATCGATTGGCTAAAGAGCGTGTGAGATGCCTTGCTTACCACACATCAAGTATCGCCGAGAGCTTCTGCTTTGGGGAGTGCGTGACAAAATGGGAAGCAATGATGCTGATAGATAGAACTACCGTCGCTCAGAGGAATATGACTGTAGTTTCCCTGAGATCAATACCTAACCTAGTCTTCGATAGCAACCATTCTAACAGGCTCATACCCATGAGGCTGGAGACCGTAGAGCGCGGTTCATTCGCAGAAACGTGCGTTGGTTGTCAAAAACAGTCACATTATGTAAACTGTCAGAAGACCCCAGATGGTCAGGGTATCCCATGTTTGAGCAGACAAGCCATAATGTACGGATAGTGGACGGGACCGCGTTGGTGCTGGCAATGGCGGCATAATCGCATTCTCCTACAAGTTAAAGCCGTGAATTTCATGGACGAGAATCGGATTCAAGACGTCTCATTCACTGCGGTGCATGCTTGGATAGTGTGCGATTGGCCCTATTCGTGCCGTGTCCCAAGCATTTCCCTGGCGATGCTGCTCGGACGAAAGCGTTCCGAGCGAGGACCAACCCAGCAGATTGGGGAGATCATTCCGGGAACCCTCAGCGTTGCAGCAGCTCATCGGCGTTCAAAAGAGGGACGAGACGCGTCTTAAGCCACGGAATACAAGTAAGACCAAAACAACGGTTTAGCATTCCTCACATGTCAGCGATGAGAGTGGAGGAACGGGAGGCTGAGAAACATCGCCAGTTTGGGTTCGTAGAGACTGGAGAGTAAATATAAGGCTAGAACGACCATGGCCTGTGCGTTTTAAGCTAATTGCTGCTCAATATCCGTACTGGTGGTGTCCGACTGTCCGTAGGCAAAAGGCATCGACGACGGGTACCTGAGCGAAAAACACGCTCCTTTCGTCGTGCTCCTCATCTCATCACCCCGGCACTGCAGCCATCGCGGCGCCGCGTGCTGTTGACCTGTTGCTGCTGTAGCAATTTAAAGCTGGGACCCAGATCCGGCAATTGTAATTAAATTGGCCTGGCCTAGTTGCACCGGCGCCTGCATAAAAACGCGGCCAAAGCCGTTTCGCAGGGGGCTTGAGCGTGGGCACTATCGTGAAGAAGCGGTAAGACAGCTGTTGGGATGTTAGTGATGACAGACGGCAGCTACATCCTGCGCTATCCAAGCTAAACCGAACCAGGGCTCTATGCAACCTTCCACATGCACAAAGCACGGATACCCAGGTTGTGCCGCCCCTTAGATTGGGTCGCAGTATCCGTAAGGTAAAGTCTTGCAGCGAGTCTTGCCCAGCACCCAAGAAACCCCCCCCGTCCGACTTGCGCTGCGGTGCTCCAATCCAATCCCTCTCCGTCACTGTTGGGCAATCCATGCCTGGACTGGGTCGCTTTCTGGTCTCGAAAAAGCAACACCAGGCACAAGACGAGACTCTGAGTCTTGTCCGACGTCTTCTTCGCTTCGCTCATTCACGGCTCGCTCGCCATCCCAATCTTCCTTTCTCCGTCTCTCTCTCCCACTCTCTCTACACGATACAATACGACAAACGATACCAACCGATTCACTCCCTCGCCTTAATACACGGGCCTTTTCCTATTGCTTCGCACGACCTCTTTTTAATACCACATTCCGACCGCAGACTTTTGCGCTTCAGCCTTTTCCAAACCTTCCACGATCCAGTCTCCGAACCTACCGAACCCTTCGTCCCGCGCGATAGTCATCACAACCTCACGTCAAAGCGCCGATTTTTAAGACCGACCACCACCATCCCCCCCAGCCGCTCTCGACAAGCTCTTCTCCCAACCTCGCGATACCTTTTGATCAACACCTCAAAAAATCGATATGTTATAGTGGAGGAAATTTGCGAACGTTAAAAAATCGTTGCGCCGCCGATCAGACTGCGATATCAGCGCCCAAAAATGACCTCAAAAGAACAGGCCGGTGGGCCCAGCACGCCGACCGACGATGGCGGCTTTCCGAAACCTCAATTCCCTGGACGCTCCGACCGACCAGGCCCGCCGAGTATCATCTCGTCGCGGATGACCGACATCGCGTCCGACGACGGCGGAGAAGCCGTAGCCCAGACCTTATCCGAAAATCCGCGCAGAAAATCTGGTCTGGCTTCAGAAACTTTGTCACGGCCAGGGACGGCCAAGACAGGCATGTCTGGGCCCCTCGAAGGCCGGAGACGAGGTCCGCCCCCACGAATGAATTATATTACCAGTCTCAACGAGAAGAGGGGAAGCATCGGAGGCGGTAGTACAGCTGGTTCGATTAGCAGCAGACCGCCTAGCTCGACAAGTCGAAGCCATGTTCCGTCTCTTACATCTTCAGCCTTCTTTCGTCCCATGAGTTCGCAGAAGTTGCAGGCCCAGCGTGGTGGTTCACGACCTGCGACCCGCCAGCAACCTACACTGGAGGATACCGAACCTACGCCCGAACACAACCAGAGTGCCGCCGCCGCCGCCGCAGTAGCCAGTGGAGGACCAAATGCTCGGCACAGCGTCATCTCAAACCCGGTATCGAACCCCGTTGCACGTCTCCAGCGGCAGCTCAGCGACGACGACAATATGAGACCGCCTCCGTCTCGCGGAACCGAATACACCGACCAAGGAACGTACGACCGAATTACCGCGAATACGAGCCCGACCCATGGTCACTATGCCGCCGGTAGTATGTCCGAGAGCGTCACTCCGTTACAACGGAACCAACGCAATAGCCGGAACCTGAGCGTCAATGTCGACAGGGGCTTTAGAGAAAGAGGCAATCAACCTAGCCCTGTCAAATCGCCACGGTCTTTCCGCTCAAGTTTCTTGCTGCCGGGTAGAAGTGACCAGAACAAGTCTAACCGGACTTTACCTGGTGGCGAAAAGCTCTCATCGACCGCGTCGACGCCGCAGCTCAATCCCGTAGACTCTTCAAGACCCGCAGACAAGAACAACTTGAAGAAGTCAAAGACAAACCTTGGCTATGTTTTCCAGTACTTCGAAGGCAACACTGTCTTCTGCTTGGGAGGCCGATTCCAGAATACCAAGCATCGGCCAGTCAACGTAGCCACTGGACTATTTATCATCATCCCCGCCGTCCTCTTCTTCGTCTTCTCAGCTCCTTGGATATGGCACAACATCAGTCCTGCCATTCCAATCACTTTCGGATACGTCTTCTACATTTGCATTTCCTCGTTCCTCCACGCATCCCTGTCGGACCCAGGCGTAAGTCGCCATCTTATTACTTCTGTAGTCGTATAACTGACCGCGCATAGATTCTGCCTCGAAACCTTCATGCCTTTCCACCGGCAGATTCGACCGAGGACCCACTCCGGCTCGGGCCCCCGACCAACGACTGGACGCTGATCAAGTCAGCAGAGTCAGCCACGGCCGCCATGGAAGTTCCAGTGAAACATTGTAGAACATGTAACATTTGGCGACCTCCCCGGGCTCATCACTGCCGTCTTTGCGACAACTGTATCGAGACCCACGACCACCACTGTGTGTGGCTCAACAACTGCGTCGGAAAGCGCAACTACCGATATTTCTTTGCCTTCGTCTCCTCAGCAACATTTCTTTCTCTCTATCTTCTTGGCGCCTCCCTTGGCCAAATTCTCGTACACATGCACCGATCCGACATTTCTTTTGGTAAATCCATCGACGACTTCCGCGTTCCCTTCGCCATGGTCATCTACGGCTTCATTGCCTTCTTATACCCTGCTGCCCTCATGGGCTACCATATCTTCCTCATGGCTCGAGGCGAAACAACGAGGGAATACATCAACTCTCACAAGTTCATCAAGGCAGAGCGGTTCCGCGCCTTTACTCAGGGCAGCATGCTCAAGAACTGGATCGTCGTTCTTTGTCGACCGAGGCCTCCTACCTACTACCAATTCAAGAAGAGGTACATTGGCGGTGATCAACGCCTCGGTGCTCTCCGGGATCAGAAGGTCGACATGCAGGGCATGGAAATGCAGAACGTCAGACCAACCACAGGGTTTCAAGGGCCTGTCTCTTTGCGCAACGAAACAAGCACTACCGCGACATAATTACCCATTTCTTTGATTGCTTTCTGCGTGGCGTTGTTTAGGAGCCATCATACGTTTAAACGGATCCTGAATACCTGTAATGTATGTTTTCTATTATACCCGGCTTTACCTATCAAAGCAGGTAAACAGACATAAAACGCCGGTTCTCTCCCTTGGCGCAGGGGATGAGAGCCCGTATCATTTTTCATCGCGGCAATGCGCTACGATATCAGAGCCAGTACATAGACGTTTGGCGCAAATTGCTGCGCTTGTAACAAATGCTAGTTCATACCCCGAGTTAAAGTTTCCACAATCGCGTGACGTTGATTTTTTTGGTTCCTGAATCACAACTGCTTGCCTCTAGCAATCAATGATCAAACACGCTTTGACATCACCACTATGCTCAAACAAGCCGAGACTGTGAATCACTAATTCGTGCAACCTTTGGCAAACATATAAATAGGTTGGTTACTTTTGCGTACTATCTGCCACTGAATTCCACTTACGCACCAGAGGCAACAGAAAGTATCACAACGACATCAAGCAACAAAAAGGCGCCTGCTGACAACAAGCTCCTGAATATTCAAAACCCACAACCCAAGGCCTCTAAGGAGCGATCAACGTACAATGGCTTACGTGTTTGACGGATACTCCGAAGCCAGCTCCGGTCGGAACACACCTCGCGGCCAGCAAGGCCCAGGCAGCGGAGGAGCGAGAGGACCTGGAGGTGGAGGTCAACAGCAGCGACGTTATGGGAATGGAGACATCCCCGTCGGTGGCCTACCTGGAGGGATCTACTACGGTACGGGTCGCTTTTACGAGGAGAATCTGCGTAATGAGCAACGACGGCGGCAACAGCAGCAGCAAGAACAAGAACAAGGACATGATCAACAGCGGCATCGGCACGATCCACAGTGGCAGCCAGAAGAGCAAGGTGAGCAGCAGCAGCATCAACACGATCAACAACAGCAGCAGCGACCGGGGTATTCTGCTTTCGGTGGCTTCAGTCATGCGAACGGCTGTGGACATGATAATGATCGTGTGAGAGAGGCTTCTGCTGCTGCGAGGGCGTTCCTTGGAACGCTACAGAGAGAGTACTGGCGGCGGAGACAGCAGGAGGCCGATGCTGGAGGCGTTGGGTCCGGATTGGGTCCTGGTGATGGGCTTGGGGAGATGGATGGGGATGACTTTGGGCCGACGGAGGAGATTCGGTTTGAGGATTTGTTTGGGGATATCTTTGGAAGCTTCGGTGGAGGCGGTGCTGCTGCGTTCGATCCTCGTCCCGGCCCCGTTCCTGGCTCTGGGCCTGATCAGGGCCGTACCGACGGGCCTGGTGGTCAAGGTGGTGGCAGGGGAGGAGGCAATCCTGGCCCCGAACCAGCGGCTCCTGGACCCGGAAGAAACGGCGGCGGTGCATTCCGGCCGGGATACGGACCCCCGCCGGGTCACTATGGAGGCGGATGGTACGGCTACGGTTCCACGTTCGGGGAAGCGGCGCGTGCTCGACGGGGAGGGGCGGGACTGACCTTTGCTGATCTCTTTGAGCTTTATCAAAGCTGGCCTGGTCCGGATAATTCGTTTGGGGATTATGAAGAGTCGGGAAATATGCCTCGAGCGTATTTTTGAGCATTGGGGTTTTTGGATCGTCAGTTGGAGTTGGAGGGTTTATGACGATTTAGGGGTAAATAGAGAATCGAGTACCAAGCAAGGTACTCAGGCCAGTAAATAATTAAGCGTTGACTATTCCCAGAAGTACAATGATGCGAACTGACTATGTCCCGGTGTGATACTTGAATTTGCTGGCAATACAGGTGTGATAATGCACAGAATACGATCTCGATCATCTCATTCGGGCCGCCGCCAAAGCGAACACCACTTTACGTGGATTACAGACACTACGTGGATTGCGTAGCTACAGAAGGGAATCGAGAGCTAAGTTCATTATTGTTAAGGGGATTTGCGATCTTTAGATTCGGAGAGGCGCTGGTTCTACACAGCCTCCAAATGTTGTGCCCCCAACCCGGCGCAGCAGGGTGCAAACATGTCCATTTCTTTGCCAACGATATGTCTTAAACATACCGTGCATGCCTACCCGGCTTACGGCCGAAGGAATTTCAGGCTGTGCGACCATTCTGCTGCCAACTTGAGGAGCCAACATCTCAAGATTGGCCTCTTCCCGCAAGCCCCATTTAATCTTGCATGCTAGTGAACTCACCTGGCTTGACAAGGCTGACATTGAACCTTACTCACACAAGCGTCGAGACAAGGTGCTGTATCCTCGATTGGAGAACTTGCAAGAGACTAAAACACGCCTTGTAGTCACTCTTATCTCTTCATACTGCTTGCAATCTCGCTTTCTTCGTCTGGAGCTCGCCTACTATCAGTATCTCGAACAATAGCCCGCACTATGAACCCCCTCTCGAGGTCCCAAAATGTCCACGCGGGCAAGACATATGCAACTGACAAAGATTGGCACCGTATGCAGCCTACTATTACCAAGCTCTATCGAGATGAGAATAGATCCCTGAGACAAGTAAGCGAGATCATGGAATCCCAATATCATTTTCATGCAACGTAAGTCAACATCGAATCACGTCCGTAACTTTCTGATTGAATCTCGTCCAGAACTAAGATGTACAAGTCAAGATTTAGTACGTGGAAGCTAGACAAGAAACTTAAAGAAGCTGAAGTAATGGTAATGCTTCGACAAAAGGAGGACCGCGACGCTGCAGGGAAGCGCTCTCGATTCTTTCTCCGAGGCCAAGAAATCAACTGGGAACGCGTGGTTCAGTATCTGAAACATAGGCCCGACTTACAAGATACGTCCAGCGTTGATATTGCAAGATATCGAGATACGAGTTCAGACATCACATGCTCTACACCCTCGCCGACTTTATTCAAGAACGAAATTCCTCGTCGGATAACACCGCATTCAGATCTGCGTCTGCTTGACGATTCCATAAGGCTCATACATTCCTACCTTGATGGGGCATTTGAAACAGGTTTGGTAGTCATCGAAGGGCATATTCTCTACGGACCAAACGGGGAACCAGCAAGACAAAGGGTCCGGAAGTGGCACGAAGACATGGCCGACATCCACGTACTGCTGAGCAGCAAAGAAACAACTGCTGCCTTCCGCCTTCTCAACAAGCAACTTGATTTACTGAAGCATCTTATAAGGGAACAAGACCCCGAGTTGCTATTACTAACATTCCACGACATCTTCGACCTGGAACCCAACCTCGCGGAGTCGCTCCTTGTCTTTGTGTGTAGGATGCACCAGGCCATATTTGGCGAACACCACCCCCTCAGCTTGATCTGGGACAATTTCGTTCGCTTCACTGCAAAGGCCCGCTTACAGGCTGTCTTGAGAATGGCCGCTTCTACCGCGAAGGAGATGGAGGCGAGGATGGGGGCTCAGTCAGTCTATGTAGAGGCTCTAGAGTGCCTTCAGGTAGATGTGCATAAACAAAGGGGCTCCAAGGATGCTTTCGGGAGTTCATAATGTTGACAAACCTCCAGGAATGGCCTCCAGCACGCTTGGTTAGGACCAACAGTGGATAAGCAAGAACAGTTGCGTCCCAAACCCAATCAGATAGATTCAGCAGAAGCACATTGACTGCATGGTCTGTTCGAATATCATTTTGAGAATTTCAAGGTGCTCAGTAGAGAGGTCTCTCTCGGCTAGGAGACATATTCCGTTGATCACAACAGAGGTCTCCTTCGAAGCTACAAACTGTCAAAAGCTACTAGTGACGAGAGTAAAGATTCGAAAAGAAAGAGTCTTCCCGCCCTATGCCTATCCCAACTGGAAACGACGCCTCTGCGGCACGAATGGAAGGTCAGAAAATGGCAGATTCTCAGCAATTTGCGATTCGTGTGAACCCAGATCCTCGATCCTCATGGATGCTAGTAACCCTATTCTCACCGTGAGGCCTGGGATAGACTCGAGAACTATAGCGCACGTTGCGTGCTCCAGAGGCGAGAAGCATATTGCCGTAAGTTTTCGGTCGAGGAAGGTATCTTCGTATCCAAAATCTGGGGTAAACTTGATAACAAACTCTCCTTTTCCATCATGGGGTTTGCACGCTGTCGGGAGGTAGAACATGTCGTCATGCGAAGTACCTGAACGCCGTTTGATCTTCCGATAGCAGAGTGGCCCGGGCTGGAATGACCAGCATTCGATGTGAAGATACCTCGTACACTGCATGATAGACGAATCAAGACCACCAGTCTCAAAGAAGTCGGCCCATTCAACCATGTTGCCCTGAGGTATTTCCACCCAAACCTCTGCGTCAAAGTTTTCCGCGAGTCCCAATAACTTGGGAGGCCTCAGATGGAAGTAGCCTTGGTGACCAAACAACGTCTTCCCGTTCTGCGATACCCACGACCAGCTTGGAAAACCTGCCAGCCTGGCATAGTTCTTCCCTTCAGGTCGGATCTCCCACTGCAGTCCAGCAAGAAAGGCGCGTTTAGAAGCAGTGGCGTCTACTACAGGCCAGCTGGAGGCGACTATCGGGATGCCCCAGTACGAAAAGCACCCGGGGTTGACTCGAGACCACTTCTTCAAGACTCCCGATACAGCAGCGAGCCTATCGTTCGAGTAGGTCAGCTGGCGGTCGCAATATTTTTGAAGTATAGCCCAGACACCGTCTGGGGTGTTGAGGAGAGTCCACTCGGGCCTCTCGTGGTGCTCCAGGTTCCCCTGCAAAGCAAGAGGACGTGTGAGGTGTTCGAAGCACATCATATCGTGGCACTCGAAGGAGACCTCGTAGTTGGAGAAGTAGAGTCTTCTCCTAGACAGACACGTCTCTTGAAACGTCCAGACCCGCGTGGACCACTTTGATCTTGAAATCTGGTCGAGTTGCCATTGGTGGCTGAAGTTTGTGACGATCTTTTGCTCGCCGATTGTCTTGGTGATTGGAACGTGCTGTGTTCGACCGAGAGACAAGCCCGGCAGCCCATAGCTCGGGTCTTTGGCGCCGATGGCGATGATGCTGAGTTCTGCGTCGCCGTAGATCTGGTCCATCCTCTCCACCTGACTCATCTTGTGAATTCCGTCGTCTTGCCAGATGCAGTATCTGTCAATCCAGATGTAGCGGAAGCCGAGCTTGATGGTGGCCCTCATGGCGTCTTGGATAACTGGCGGAAGGTCGTCCGGCAGATAGGGGTATGTGTACTTGTCTGGAGGCGCGGCTCCCCAGACGTAGCTCAACGCTACGTAGCGATACCTAGTGCCTGGATCCGTGTTGATGATTTGACGGGTTTTGCAGTCTATGAGCTTGAAGTGAGGGAGAGCCTGCCAGTCGGGGCTGGTGCGACATGCGTCGTGCTGATGCTCGCATAAGTGTATCCATGACCGGATGAGACCGTAGTCGATTCTCTCCTCGCGTAAGACTCTCGCTTGCATTGGGAGTTCTAGAATGGGCTGAACAGGCTCCAAGATGGCGGTGGAGGCAAGAGAGACCAAACTTCCCGGCGCCTCTCGATGGGCGAAACGGATCCACGCTGTCAAGCCGCCACCGGCACTGGTATTGCCAAAGTACTGAGCGGATGCTGTCTTATAGTGTGAGGGATTCATCACGAGGAGGAGTACGGAGGTAAAGTCTGAGACTTCCACGCGACTCGCCACTTTCTCCTTCCCAGCAAAATTGTAGAGCAGATTGGCGGGGATCGCTAACATGATTTTCTTCTTCTCAGCCATCGGATAGCGGGTGAGGTTGAAGCCGATGGAGAAGACCAAGTCACAGAACGGACAGCTTGGGATCATGCCTGGGGGGTATTGACTAATTCTCTCCTCTCGGGTGAGCGGTCTCCAGTTGCCAACATGTTGGATGTATTTGGTCCAGCTAGTCTTGTAACTCTGAGCCGAGCCAACGGCTGGAAGACCGTCAAATCGGACCGGGTCGAAGACTGCTTGCAGGTTTAGCTTGGTGCAGTTGCGACAGAGCCGATCATCTGAAAATGACATTGTGATCTTGCATGAGTGTCTGTTAGTGGTGTTGAGTTGTAGAAGTGAGGTTGGCGAGGCTCTGGAATTCTGCCTGCCCAGCTGGGTATTATTGGGCGTAAGCGCCCCTGTCACGACTTTTCGTCCAATTACATCCACTTCATGCAGCAGCGGCTTGGCCAGCAACATCGCGTGAGACATCGAATTCAGCACCCGTGGATCACGCAAAGACCCAACTGAGCTCACGCCAGGACAACAACCCAGACTCTTGATGTGATCCTCAACTACCTTATGGGACAAGTCGCATGCTACCCTGTCCTGTTTGGATTGGAATAGAGCGTATCCGTATTCAAGAATTGGTCCCAATTGCCTGGCATGGGCTGTGTTCCCGCGGCAAACACCCAGTCGAGATCCAACCTCATGTCCATGTCAATGCCCTCATGCTCTTCACGCTGCTCCCCTTGCTGAATGGGAGATATGCTCTGGAAACTACCTATGCTCCTTGACCCGGCCGGACTGTCGGTACGCGCTCGTTTCCGAGACGCCTGCTCGCTCTGCCGTAGGGCGCCGAGACTGGGGGGTAGCATGGCGTTACGTGAAGGACATTGACTCAACCGACGAGAGCGCAACTCCCACTTCCGTTGCAGCATAAGAAGAAAGTCCCGAGACCGCTTGGCGCACTCCCAAGTGCCTGAAAGCTCCTCCAGAGCCCGGAAGCATACACTCAAGTGTGTCGCCGTCTCTGTGGTCCTCTTCCGTCTGCGGCGAGATATAGATGCGAAAATGAGTATGATGGCTGCAGAGAAGATAATGGCTACGCCTTGGATATGAACTCGCTTGAGGGAGTATTGGCGTTCGTAAATCAGGATCAGCTTTGCCACTGCGGCTGCTGACTCGATGCACATTTGTTGCGCGTGCATGTAGCCGGGACCTTGAGGCGGTTGTGGTTGGATGTAGCTTGACGACATCCACGGCCGATGGGCATGTATTACATTTTGATAGTATTGCATACTGCGTAGAAAATGGTTAGTAGGAGCCACACGACGACAGTAATCAACAGTGTGGATTTGAACTTACTGTAACAGAATAACATGAGGAAGGAACGTTCCCTCAGAGTCTTCTAGATCGACTTGGAGATTGCCTGGCAAGTTCTCTTTCCAAGCGAATAATATAGAAACGATCTTCTCGTTGCTGGCCTGCAATATGTCCCGCGGAATCCGAGAGTTGCCATATCTGCCAGAACGGCGTTTAGCTACACTGAGACAGACAAAAACGTTGATATTCGGGCGGTTTACTCACAGTGTATGACCAAGTGGTGCCATGATTTCGCATAACTCGATCCTGTGGAGACTGACAGCCTCGGCGTGGTCCTGCAGGGGCACTGAAGAGTTGCCGTTGCTAAGGCTTGAAACATAAGGAAGCCATTGCTCGACCCGTCCGTCTGACGAGTCTGCTGTCGGTTTCTGAACTGTGATATCGTCCATGCTGATACGAAAAGGTCGACCTCTGTAAAACCCAAGCGTCCTGGAAAAATTGTGAAGTCAGAACAGAGTCGCAACAACATTAGGAACGGCACTAGAAGCTTACTGATCCATTGTGTATGCGCCCCAGAACACAGCTCGACGAAGCTCGGCTTCGGCAGGTTTAAGAACACCCTTGTTTACGTACGGTGTCATATCCTTGTGTAATGCCAAATCAAACGCGAGCCGAATCGCCATCGCTAGATCGAGAGCTGTTAGTTCCTCTTGTCTCATAGCCTATACATGGGATAAGCCGGGGAAACTGTACCACTATACAACCAACCGCGAGAATCCCTATTCGCCCCTATTTCATGACTACTAAGAACGATCATTGCTTGTACCGTAGAGACTGAAGGCGAGTCTAGTTCGATTTCTAGAAGAGTCTTGGCTCGTGCGGCGAAGAAATCCGGAAGAGACTTTGGGAAGGTTATGAAGCTCGGGTGATATCGTGTTTCGAAGGTTGCGCCTAACGAACACCTGCAACGAATTAGCATGATAAAGTAATACTTAACTTGATAGATGGAAGCTATGTTGAGCTTACATCGCATTCCTGAGTGCCTCGGAGTAATATGGCGTGTCTTCCTCTCGCTCATGCCAACTATGCTTCGCTTCTTCGTAGAGATCCCTATCGACCACATGCTGAAAGGGGTCTTGCCATGTGAAGTAAAGATTGATTAGATGGTCTTCGAGATCTTGCGGTACCTGCTTGCCGTAGCCCATGTTGTCGAGGTGTTCCTGGCCATCGTTGCGCACGGTTCGATCCACAGCCAAAGTATCGGCTCCCACAGGTAGTTCCATCAAGCTGAAGTTAGATGTTGGTCCGAAATACGAGATACGACCATTGGGACCAATTTGGAGAGACCCCAGTCTATCAGATAATTGGTTGACGAGGTCCTCTTCCGTTGTGCCCGAACCGGCATCGTCATCTTCGTTGTCGCTCAAAGCAGCCTCTCCGGAGTACGTGCTCAAGAGAGGATGGCTCGGGGTCCGAACGCTGGCGATGCCAACACCAGTTGTTATGCTGTTATCCGCATTCTCAGAAGGACTCCATTCCCAATCAGCAATCGCTCTCGTTGTCAAATTTAACAACCCGTCTTGGACCGGCGGTGCAAGTCCGGCGGTTGCATCATTGCCTAAATTAAAGGAAGACGGGTCGAAAGGTAGTGAAAAGTCCAGAGGAAGTTGATCTGGAGGTAGTAGGGTATCGTTAGATGGAACGCAAGATGCTAATGTTTGCGGCTCTAGGGATAAGGTTGGGTCAATCGGTGGTGTTTTATCTCGTTCTAGAGCCGGTTGGGTCGTCCAAAGGCCTAGAGTGTTTAGTATCCGTGTCAGACTTTTGGCCTCTTCCAAAGGCATAGGCGGGAGTTGGAGGCCATTCTGATTGATAAAATGGCAAAGCTGGTCGACTCTGCTGGATAGCAATTCGACTGCGACGCGCAGTGACAGTCTAGCGTTTGTCAGCCTCGATCGGTTCGCTCAAAATCAAGAGAGTGCAAAGTGAATCTAACTTGCGCTTGTCCTCTCCAGCTTGGTAACGGCATTCTCGGTGCTTAGTTTTGCAGTTGGAGCATGAAGGAGTTGCGCCGTCACACTATTGACAATTTGTTACTAGGATACCACAGGATCTAACCTGAAGCCATCGTCGTGATATCAAAGCTGGAGGGTGGAAACTTGACAATGAGGCCGGGGAAGGCGGCGCATACCTTGATCTTGCTTTCCCGACAGGAAATGCACGCCGTAGTTACATGCCTCCTCTTGGCGTCAGGCTTCGATGATTGGGGCATACTGCCTTGCTCCTCTGGAATATGTGTTCCGGAATCTGTGTTGAAGGTGTGGAGGTTGATGAAGTTTGGCTGGGGTAAATTCGAGAGATGACGGGGCGGTGGACACTTCTTGGCCGCACCGAGGCCCACTAGTACAGGGACGTTCTTTTACAGCATGAACCCCGGTGTGCTAGCTACCTGGCCCATGTGGCTTTGTAAGTTGCTTCAGCCGTGTTCGTACTAGTAGCGCTGACCGCGGGGCGCGTGGGCGCCACGTCCAGATGTACAGGGGACTTGCTGGACGCTAAAGTGACTATGTTGCACCGAATGAATGTGCACTAAGGTTCACTCCATATGTGGTCAACAACACACCGGACGGTCGTGATACGATTCGATGATCTCTCCATTAGGGTAGGGGAAGACTGTCAAATACACCCTTATACTTGAGTACATATAGTGAGAATCATCAGTAATATCTGGGAGTGAAAGACTATTCTCATTAGCGTCTTGTTGCCGACATGGAATCTGCGTGGGTATCCGAAATATGGATCAAGAGCATCTCGAGCACACATTTGCAATCACAGACTACTGGCCACTTGGGCATGAATCAAGGATTTACGACTTTAGGATTACACTTCGTGTATCTCAATCGATGACCGAAACACGCAGTAACGCTACTCACTTTGGCAAAGTACTATTGGGCGGTACTAAGTCAATTCGCACAATCTGGCATACCGAGTCGTCCATCCTCATTCTAATGAATCGTAGCAATAGAGTAAAGATGACTGGGCTGTGGTAAACCTTAATCTTATTCAAAATATGCGAAAGAGGGCCGGTGTATTTCCTCTAGACATGAAGTACTGGCGTGTCCGAAAGAACCGGCCCGCGGGAGTCCCCGAGTCACTCCTCTTCAAATTTTCGACATGACCGGGATCTCGGTTTCTGAGACGGCTTCCTAGCGCAAGTATTGCCAGAAAAGAGGTAACAAAGAGCCGTTATGGTTCAACTTCTCCTTTAGTTGGCACTTTGTGAATTGAGATTGAATCTGGGATTGTTACATGATGAATCGCTTACTTTCATCGAGGTAAGGCGTTCGTGATACGCCCTCGCTCTATGACCCAGAACCTTCTCGAGACAGCATGATGGAACAATTACCTTACTCTCAAAGCCCGACTGCCATAGGTCAAAAGATTCATCATTAAGCTTCCCAGTACGCGTATTGCACGTGCTCAAAGGGACCCAAACGCCATTGGTACGTTTGAGGCGTTAAGGGAGCTCGAGCACGTACTCTGGGTTGCAAAGCCAATGAGCTAATTACTGAAGAGAACGCCTTACTCGAAGAAAAAGTTGCATCCAGTCCAATGAAAGTCCTTTCTTCATCCTTAGGTCTTTGCTAGTAGTAAAGCCACAGCTTAGAGCAGCCTCTGAACTCGGTACCGTGCCGAAATGATTCCGGACGAACTTAGCGGTCGAATCTGATAACCCAAAATCTGGTCCGAGGAGATATCGTGCTGTTGGTTAAAGTCAACCTCATTAATCAGAAACGTAGCGACACCCAAATGAGTTTAGATCCGACAAGACATCGAGCGGCGCCAGGTTTCCCCAAATCAAGTGCTTTATCCTTGTGATCACTGCTCAAGACGTCGCTACTGGATTAAGATGAGTAATGACATGATGAACGCTTAGTCGGAATTATAGTCCGGGGAAGATCTAAAATCTGAGCCGCACTAAGATCTCATAGGACGTTCGGAAACCAGTTTCCGAAGACCCCACCTACCTTGGCCCCAGAAGTCAGGTACACCCGGAGACAATTATCATGCAACAAAGTCCGATTTCTACGTTCGTCGCCGAATATCAACTCATAAGTCAAGATATTTCCCCAGGTGATCAGCTGGAGGGGAAGAGATTCTGTGACGACGAGCATCTCCGTATGGGGCCGGTTCTCGGCGGACCCATCCGGAGCTCAATCGGGCAATTCTGACCGGTAGAGGACTCCCCGATCCCCAACTTGACCTCGTCAGACAATGCCCTATTCGGACTCCTGCCAGTGTGCGAATCGAATTGATGGAGAGGACTAGAAACCTGCGTTTCCGCATAGACTGTGGTTGGATCGTCTTTACGGACTTCCAACGTCAGAACGAAGTCTCGATTCTCTACCGAATGTGGAGAGCGCCAGCCCACTACACGGTCCTTTCAGCATTTAAATACCCCGCGCTTCTCCCTCCACGAGCAGCGGAATATGAGGTAGTTTTATGAAATACCTTACATTACAACGATCCATTACATTTCGACTATCGCCTCAGCTAAGTACTCCAAGATGGCTATCAAGAACGGACAAGCGAACGGCAGTCACTCTCTCAGCAAGGGCTCCTCCCGCCTCTTCTCAAAATCGGAAACGACAGCAGTAGAACGATTTGCAACCACCTGTTCCCAACGAGCCTCTCCAGAGGATTACCCGCTCGCTGCATCCATCGAAAAGAACATACCGATCTACGAGCTCCCTGAATATTCAAGCTTGAGCGACACAGAACGCACAGAGCTACAAGATGAATGGTACCGCGTACTGATCTCTGGCCCAGGCGTCTTTGTCACAAAGGGCCTTTTCCGCGACAAAGCGCTGATCCAGTCAGCAAACGCGGCTTTCGCATCAATCATCGAGGACGAGAAGCAATCAGGAACCGCAAAGGGTGACCACTTTGCCAGCGCCGGCAAAAACGACCGCATCTGGAACTCGTTCAGCAAACACGGCCTCAAGGACCCGGCGTCCTTTGTCGACTACTACTCGAATCCATACCTCAGCCTCATCTCGAGCGCGTGGCTCGGACATGGCTACAGAATCACAGCGCAGGTTAACAACACCAAGCCCGGCGCCTCGCCGCAGGTATGCCACCGCGACTACCATGTTGGCTTCCAGACGGCAGAAGCAGCCGCGCAGATTCCACGGGCGATGCAAATCGCCAGCCAGCTCTTGACGCTGCAGGGCGCCGTCGCTCACTCAGAGGTGCCTCTTGAAAGCGGTCCCACGCGGCTGCTACCGTTCAGTCAGACGTTCGAGGCCGGCTACGTCTCGTACCGGCGCCCCGAGTTCAACGACTACTTTTTGAACAATTACGTCGCGTTGCCGCTCGAGGTGGGAGATGGGCTCTTTTTCAACCCAGCGCTCTTCCATGCGGCTGGTAAGAACGAGTCGAGCGATGTGTACAGGATGGCGAACTTGTTGCAGATCAGCAGCCCCTTTGGCAAACCGATGGAGTTTGTGGACGCCGTGCCACTGGTGGAAAAGAGCTGGGCTCACTTGCTAAAGTTATACGAAGACGAAGGGCTGAGTGCTAGGGTCAAGTCTTTCATCGCGGCCGTGGCAGAGGGATATCCATTCCCTACGAACTTGGACAACAACCCGCCAAGGAATGAGGGTATGGCGCCAGAATCAGAGCAGGACAATGTCACACAGAGTTTGGTCGAAAAGCGAAGCAGAGCCGAAGCAGTAGAAGCGCTGAAGACATTTGTCAAGAGATCATCAGCATAAATATATACGCATAGCTCGCCTGTAGAACAAGCACCTATTCAAGGTATTCCTTGCAAGTTGCTGATGAATCTCTAGAGGTCCAGGCAGACCCCAAATAAGCCTGACCTGTTGCGAAAGACTGATGCAGATGTTAAATATGCCAATTACCAAGACCAAGTGGAATAAGTATACATCGAGGGATTCAAGTCTGTGGCCAAATTGGCATTCCTACCTAGGAATATTGGAATCTTTGGTGAGAGTCTATTCGATATTTGCTCAACTCCTGCTATTATCGCATCTACGTTGATCGGCAAACCCCACATCTACGAGGGATCGGGATTGTTTATGCACGTCAGCGAAAGCGCATGCGCCCTGGCCGGAGCATAATGAAGACAAGCGCAGTGGAATGCATGTGGTCAAGAAGAACGAGAGGTACCGGCTGATGCCGGCGTCATGGTTCGTCAGCCTCGAAACTTGCATCCAAAATATACGCGACTGTTAGCTGCCCTCTCCAAATCTGCCTCCTCAGTGGCCCGTTGCCGCTTTACCGAAGACAACCTAACATAGCTATCATTTAGTTGCCGCCATTTGTCTCCCCACTGAGGGTTTAATTTAGATAGCTTCGGGATGTGACGTTACTCCCTGTTACTTGCTTCTTGGTCTGCTGCGACTTTCGTGTTCCGGCGTTGTCCACGTAGGCTCCGATCCACCCTCCATGTGTGTCTTTCGTCAAACGGGATTCTGTGGGATTCAAAATACCATCGCCAGTTGGGCCACACTGAACACGGATCAACCAGTCGGAGCCAGACCCTGAACAGCCATCGGTCCCATTCCTCAGCTGTCGTCGGGCAACTAGCGTCGATGGACACGGGGGAGAGCAACGTTGAGAGTGACATCACATGTGAGACCTCCATTCCTTCTACTGCCGATACGAGGTTTTGCGCACGGGAAAAGTTGGGGGGCCATACAGGCACACACTGACCGCTAAAATGCTTCTTACGGGATCTGCACCACTGAGTGGTGATCTTCCATTCCCACGCCTCTCGTGGCGTGCCAATGTCACGATGTTTGACAGCTTCCCAACGTTCCCAGGGAGAAGCTTTCTTGTATTTATTGAGACACGAGTACCCACCTCTTTACAGGGTCTGAATCAGTCCCTCACCGCGCAAACGATTCACCATAACGGAGCTAGAAATACCATCGTCTTCCCGCAAGCATCTCCAAATTCTGTCACACATTCCACAAGTTTAGGTGTCCCATCAAAAAGACAAACCTTCCCATAACGGCTTCAAGCCAGATTTCTCGCCACAAAGAAAGAAGCAAAGTACCTCCTTCTGATCCGCACCTCATCAAACTTTCAAGCCTCTCAAGATGTATGCCAGCAACCTCATCACCGTCTTCTCCGCCCTCATCGCCGGTGCCTCTGCCGCGACCCTTCCTCTTCGGTGGTCGGGCGTCTCAAATAACGCCGCGATCGCCGGGCGTCGACAGACCGATGGCAGCGCTACTTATCACACAACGCCAGGAAACATTTCCTGGAGCGCACAAAACTACATTTGGGGCTGCTCACCAGGCGGCTGCAGTGCCCGCTTCAACGTTAGCGCTCCGACGGGCTACAGCTCCGGCGCGCCCGGCTTCAACGTCGTCTGCAGCCCCATCTACATCCAGCAGGGCTGGGTTCCCTGCCTGAATCCGGACAACAGCCCCCTCAGCGAGGATTCGCAGGTCTTTACGATTTGGACGGCCGGCGCTGACCGTGAGCGCATGTATCTCGGTGTCGAACACATTTACAAGCGTCAAGAAGATGGGCTCACTTGGAATGCCACTGCTGGGACCGACATCCTTCCTGTGCAGAACATGAGCATCACTTTCCCTGTCAACACTGTGGTGGTTCTTGGGTCTTAAGTAGTGGCGATGTTGCAACGGCGATTAGTACGTTCTTCAACTTGCACGAGGCATGCATTCAGCAAGGAGTTTGGTTTATGGGCATTTCATTCGTGTAATTACTCGATGTAGATCTTAATGCTTAATACTTGACCGAGCACCGCATCTCCGCCTGCCTTGCAGATAAGGGATCCCAGAATCGTCTTACTGGTTGAAGCCACCCTCGTCCAATGGGGCATCTACCACGGCTTCTCGTTGATCGGAGCGAGAGGAGTCTGGCACTTTGCCGCCAAAGCGGCTTTTGCCTCGTCACTGTCGATGCTCACGCAGGGGGTGTCGATACCTCCATCTACGCCATCGCAGATGATGACAGGTTCCCCACCGCAGGGCGATGTGACGTTGAAGTTCTTGAACTTGATGTTGTGGCATACGGCGTCGGGGTTTGTGGAGCACGTTAGCTTCGCAACGGCGTTGCCGTAGATGCCGCTGGTGTAGCCGGAAAAGTTCTCGAAGAGGACGTTGGAGACATTCATGCCGGACGGGTATTGCTCGCAGGTAGTCTCGTTGATCTGCCGCGAGTTAGTCAACTGGACAAAAGTTCTTTCATATACCATGATCGTAGGGAACTCACGTTGAAGTAGCATGAATCAAGAATGACTCCGTAGTCCATTCGAGCAACCCAGAAGTTCCTTCAATCATTGTCAGAGATGCGTGGCCAAAAATGTCGAGACGGAGAAGTACTCACTTGTAGGTGATGTTGTCGACGAAACCGTATCCCACGTTAGGGCCAGCCCAGGTCTTGATGCGGGCACCCGAATACTGATACCTGGTTAGAGGAAGGTAAAACTAGAATCGTTGGATCCGACTTACATCTCCGTTCAACATCCAAACGTTCTCAATGTGAACGTCCTTGACGTAGGACATTTCCCCGGCGTATTGTCCCAAGGAACCGATTGACTGAGTCAAGTTAGCAAGATTAAAGCATGAGAAAGGCCGTGCAAGTATATACCTGGCCATGGGTACCTGTAACGATGTTAGCCTGCTGCTGAGAGACAACCAGGTTTCATACGACAAACCGTTGCAGTACATGGTGTTCACGTATAGATTGGTGTTGTTCGACTTCGGGGAAAAGCAGTCGTCGTCAATGTTAACCCAGACACGCTCAATCTTTACATCTTGAACATCCAAAGAGTCGAAGAAGTCGGTGTTCTTGGGGATGATGCTGCCGTTATTGGTGATAGCAGTGGCAATGACATCTCTGTACTCAATATTGCTCGCTGGCACGTAGGAGATTAGCCCGATTTCCACGACCAGGGGAAGATGAATAGCAGCTGCCGTGAGTCTAACTTACACCCGACGACGAAGTTGGTCCAGCAGGGAGAGTCCTTCATGTGGATTCCCTCAACTTCCAGATTCGTGGTGTTCTCCACGTAGAAAAGGATGGGCCGGAGGTATTTGTTGTCGGGGTTCTGGGCTGTTAGTTGCTTGTCGTTCATGGAAGCTGACCACCGCGAGCTCATACCAGAATCCTGAAGGGGTCAGCATGGTGCTCTTGAGATAGTCTAAGGAGCGAATACTTACGATCCGATGCCAGAGTTGAACTCGTTCCACCAGCGTTGGCTATACAGAGTGTTAGACATGAGTACAGTGAAAGTTTAGACTGTTCTGGCCTACGGACCCTTGTCCGTTGATGACTCCATCACCATAGATCTTGATGTCCTTGCCACCCCATTTCCCTACATAAGACTATGAGCAGGGCGTCCAAATATGCGCATTACCGGGACTGTCTTACAGAACATGATCGATTTCTGTCATGTCGCATTAGCAGGGGTTCATGCCTGCATTAGACTGGATCGGGGACTTACTTGGAAGGGATGCGTGAACGCATTTGTCTGAAGTCAAGAGTCAGCAACGTCGCCTCTCGTCAGCCTCTGCGGGTGCTATCATGTATAACGTACTTGCCAGTATTTCACATCATCGGTAAACTAGACTATCCTGTCAGGTCAACCTCGACAACCTTCAAGTTGCTAGATCTCACCTTGATCTCGCCTTCCAGCCGGACATGAATGTCATTGAGGAAAGTCAAGTCGAGAGCCTTTGCGATGACAAAGGTTTGGTTCTTGGGCAGGTACAAGGTCCCACCGTTGTTGGCCTCCTGAAGACCCTTCTTGAGCTCTTCTGACACGTCGTCTGTGGCGTTCCGGGAAGCGCGGATCGTGAAGGTCTTGCGTCCACACCCTTGGGATGGGGGCGTGTAGGGATGCTTGTCACGGAACTCTTCCAGAGATCTGGGTACACCCGCCGGCAGTTCGATCCCGTAGGAAGAGACCACGCCGGCTACGGCTCCAAACAGGGCCAGTGATCGCGAGAAACGCATGATGAAGAGGAAGGGGAAAAGCCAGATGATGGATGCGATGCAACGATACTAGCCCGACCTCGCCTTCATGTGAGATGCTCCGAAGATAGCAACTGGAGGGCAGACTGCCCCATCTTTAAGGCTTTCAAGCGACCAGCAAACTTGCTCCGGGGAGGATGGAGTCCAAGTGGGGACGACGAAGGTATTCCCACTTCTCTGCTCTTCTCTTCAAAGTTCGGGCGAGTATCACATCGGATGGAGTGACGGAGCACTCCCCCTGGACACGGAAAAGTCGAATAGACTCATTGGACACTGCAGGGCTAAATTGGCTAGGCACGGCGACTTTAATCATAGTCGAACTCGGAAATAAGATTACCTAGGGGACGAGGAACCCCGCGCACGCATCGGAAAAGAGTCGAATAAAAACCCCCGGCCTTTGAACGCACTTCACAAAGCATTAACCGCGAAGCGGTCTGGCGTTGAAGTTGGTGGAAGATCGCGTGAGGAAGCGTTGGGGTTCAGTCTAGGGATCTTGGGGGATGTGCGGGGGAGACCCTAGGATAGGTTGTAGTGCAGGGCTCGGCACAGGCCTATTGGTGGGAAATTCCTTGGCCTAGTCTAGCGACCTCGGAAAAAGGCACCGCGCCGTTGGTAGCTAAGCAGTCTGATCTTGAGCGGCCATCGGCGGTGGGCTTTGAACCGGCCGGAGATCCGTCTCGTTGGTACCGAGGTGAACGGCGGGGATGCTATGGAGGTAAGAATCACGCTGAGGCTTGCTCGGGCTTGGTTCACATGCATTCAGGAAATGAACTGCAGTAGTATCCTTCATATTACTGAAGGACAAAATTTTGAAACAATACACAGGTGTATGATGTTATTGAGATAGTTTAGAGCTACTTGCGGCGTAACGTGTTGAAGAACGTGAGAGAAGATAATTCTTGACAAAACGGTTGGAGCAGAGCTTGCGCTTTGATTTATTGAGCAGTAGTATCTGTACTTCCTCCATCTTACAGAGCGCCCCGAACGTTGCTGGGTGAACCATTTTAAGTATATAAGAGAACTCCCATGAGAACCGCTATTTTAAGAACTTCCAGCATTGTGGAAGATTCCTTCCCTACAATTGCTCATATGCCTCATAGACACCTCTTGCCGGCCTGGAGCAGAGTCTACTTGTAGTAGGACGGCCTCAGGAGCGCTGCAAATGTGATCACTATCTCGGATCGTCATCCGTCGCCCCTTTCCCAAGATTCTTGCAGCTCGCCAATATTACCATGCGAGAGAAGGTGGGAGATAGGTCTAAACATGCTTATAAAACCCAATAACCCGGCTAACAATACCTGCTTACTCTCGCAAGCTTCGACCTTGCCAGCCAAGTAGCATCTTAAGTAGGCACGAGGAAAGTTTGAGATGCGATTCGAGGCTGAGATCACCGGTGGCAGGACGACAGGAAATGGGCGTGACCGTTACCTCCTCAATATGGCTTGAATTTGCGCACTGAACGCACTTGGCTTTTGGAGGCTTTGATGGCGCTTGACGTACCTACCTTAGACAAGAATAGAACCGCAAATGATGCGGCTTACCTCGATTCAATGGCTAGTATGGCCTCAGATCGACTAGGTCTCTTAAGTAGCTAGTATCACGTTCTCTACGCTAACGAACTCATCTTGACTATAAGCCCCCGGCTCTTACTTATTCGGAGGGGTTATCACTTTAGATAAGCTTCCATCTAACGCGTATTTCCATTCAAGGCCGTGAACGGGAGACATTTGTCAGCAAACTACCTTTTTTGGCTAGTTTACTTAGTGACTTAGCTCGAAACTGAAATAATCAGGGCCAGACAGATGTTTCTTCCCAAGATAAGCTGCACTAGCTACCGATTTTACATAGTCGACATGTGCCGTTGAGTATCGTGTTTCGTTACGCCTTAGTTCCACGTATCACGAAGCGAGTGTCCAGATGGAAGACGTATAGTAGAAAGTAGCTTGATTCTTCTGAGTGGTAGACCCATAATGGGTCATTTATGAATACTCTATGAGACAAGCGGTCGTTCCGTGGTAAGCGGTCTCGTGCGGCAATATACTGGGCACATGCAGCGCTATATGTGGCGTTGCGACAGCACGTCTAATCACTCTAGCGATCCTTGAACAATGCCTCTAGAGTTATGGAGAGTGATCAGACGTTTATAGCCGGCGGAAGCTCTGCGCCTCTTCATCATCCACGGTGGTAAGGTCTCGAAACAGGACAATTTCATTGAACCTTTTTGCAAGAACCTCTACCCTCGCCGCCTCAGGGTTCAACATGGCCAAGTCAAGATCAACCATGAATGTGGCGCGAACATCGTCGTCCTTCAAGTGTCTCCCGCCTGCTTCCATCATCTGTACTTCCAGAGTATTGGCTTCACTGACTGTCATGCATCCCCCACGGAGCGCCATAGTCAACAGTGCCCGAGATATCAACTCCGCAACACGATATGACTTTCGGAGACCTTCATAAGCATTTATACATGCCAAGAAATAGAAACGCCATTCAGGGTCGTGTGTGTCGTGGAGCACGGCATTTGCGACGTAAATGAGGGCTGTCTGCCAAAGCATGGTGTAGGTCGAGGATTCATGATAGCAGCGATAGTTTATGACTAATTGCTTGAGTTGCCGTACGGACGTGCCAAAGGCATCATCCGGGGATAGATGTTGCTCGGAAAAGGATAAGACACGGGAACGATCTCGCTGGGATCCGTGTACAAAGGGCCGGAATATGTCGAGAACGGCAGCGTGAAACCAAATGCTGAGAAGAGTAAGCCTGGGCAGGTCGGACCTCGGACTACTCTGGCGCTTACTGCAGGATAACTACATGGTGGGGACTGTCATCTCGTAGGGCGGCATCTGGTGGTAGAGCTTGAGACCAATCGAGGAGTTCACGATATTTAAGTTCCGCAAAGTTCAGGTTTATATGCTCTTGCAGCAGACTTTTTCGATTCTTGTAGTAAGAAACACTCACGCCGTGCATAATTTTCCAGAACGAACAAAGTGCGGGAAACGTGTGGCCCATGAACGAAGGCGAAGCTGGAGCTATCATATGAGCATCAACATGAGCCAGCCTTTTAGGTGCTGCATCAACTATCTCACCATCTGGTATTGGAAGGACGGGGGGGTGTTCGGGGTATTGGAGGTTTGGTTGTTGGTAAAACATTGTGGTGAGGCTACGCGAGAGAGTCAGTGGTTGCTTGTGAAATGGGACAATCCGTATCATGTACGTACACTGCCCAATTGAAGAGCCCCCACGCCGTGTATGCCATCCGCCTCTGTATCTCGGGTGAAAGATTTGCCAGGTTTCCCCTTGCCAGCGAGGGGTCGACGTCAAGAAGGGACAACCTCTTCCCCATATCGATAGCAGCCGAGAGGAATCTTAAAACATAATGATCTTTTCCATGCCCGAGATAAGCCAAGCTCAACAACTGGGCGCTGGCAACGTTGAGGCTTGTGTCATTGTGCTGCTCATGCAGCCAAAGCTCCTCAGCCTCGTTGCAAAACGAATTCGTATAATCACGGACCTTTTGGTCAAATGCAGCGTAAATTTGCTAGCACAACATTTCTATTGTCAGTCTTTCATCCGTCCATCTTTCACGTACCGGGTCTTTTGTCCACTTACACATCCCCAGTACAGCACCGTACTGACAAGGAGCCGGGAGCAATTGGTTGTCTGATGATTGACAAGATCATTGACGAACAGGTTTGGATCGAAGGTGCCAAGCAGAGGATGATCAGTTGTAAGGTATACAGACAATATGCGGGCTGCGAGGTCATTGGAAATTGAGACTGTCGTCCAGAAAGAGACGTCGAGGTGACGCAGTCGATCGTCACAGATACTGGGTCTCGTATTTCCTTGCCCATCCGGCGGTGCCGCCATATGCAACGGACCGTTCGTATTTTGAAGTGCACCATCAGACATGATAGACGAAACCCCGTCGTCAGGCGGTCTGTAATCGTCAACAGGGTTTTTGAAGGGAAAGGGAATGTTGGTACAGACTTACTGGTTTTCGAATGGCTTTGATCGGCGTGAGCTGTTGGAGCTAAGTAGTGCTTCACGTTCCGGTGCGGTGGCTGGAATGGTACGAAGGTTAGGGTAGGCAGTGGGGAAGTTGGCCATCAGTTCCAACTCCAAAGACGAGTTCTTCAATGGTTCGGCGTTGTCAACGACAACATCTTGCATGCTTGGTTCTACATTGACCGCACCTCTGGCGAAAGAAAGTACGGCAGCAATGTCTGTATCGGTCCTCCAGAGGCGTAAAATCTGAATGGCATGTTGCTCCGTTACAGACTTGAGAATGTCAAGGAGTTCCTGCGGTTCATGAGATTCGTAGGACGACTGAAGAGCTTCTCGTTTCTGAACGTAGGTGCAGTCGGATGATCGCTTCTGACACGCAGCGCAAGTTGGACGAAGTCCGTCGCACTACAGCTGGCGCGACGCCGTTCGTCAGTGGAATCCATGGTAATGCCATCCAGGATACACTGAGAACAAAATCGCCAGCGGAGAGGCCAGTCCAGCAGCGAGACTCACACGAGATTTCCTCCTTCGACAAGGATTACAAGCAATATCAGCCTGCTGGCGTTTCCTCTTTGAGTCTGCTTGAAAGGGTTGCTCGGATGTGGAGGACTGGGCACTGTCCCCGGCGGATGCCAGGGGGGCCAACTTCCTGATCATTGCGTTGTAGTAGGACTAGATGGTCTCCGAGAAAATGGGGGGAGGGGGGCAGGCGGTCCCAGGTGTGAAGCCGATCAAGCGATGAGTTCAGATACATTTGGAGGTGTAGACCCCGAAAACGTGTTACCTGTGGAATGGCTAAGGTCAGAATTCGGCTGCCATGGGAGGGAAGTGGAGATCAGGAACTTGAGCCTTGGTAATATGACGAAGCGCGCCGATACCGTTTATGGGCTTAGTCATAACCCCGATCACGTGGATGCAAAAGCGGAACATCTCAACTTGAATAAGGCTTGCTTTTTCCGCATTTTGGGAAGTCAAAGGTCATGATCGCACCTCAGTCCATGGGGAATTTTCAAACCCGTCTGCTGATTGATATATCCTGTCGCGCGACAGATCGAAGACTGAGGGTTTCCTCCATGAAATCTGCCTTCTGCTACGGCCTAGTGTTGCTTGTCTGGCTTGAGAACCAATCAAAAAAAACTTTCATTAGACCCGAGAGGCCTTTGACGACCCGACGGCATTATTGTTAGGGTCAAGCTGCCAACTGTGTTGTTGCATTGCAGATAAGTAGCGAAGATGTTGATGAGGCTGCTATAGCAGCTGAGGGGCGTGACACACATGATCAGGCGAAGAAGCTGTTGCACCTATCTATACACACTGTAATCAACACTTCCAAAAACCACAGATAGCAGGCCATTCTCTCGTACTAGAGTTGATGTAGACATTAAGAATTCAATCAGGAGGAACTTGGACTTCTCCCCAGACGATGTACCCTCTAAGTCGTGAGGTGTAGGTCGTTGGACGAGCACAAATGCCCCATTTGTATTCTGCAGAAGATAGTTGCGGCTGAGGTACTTGAAGCTACTTTGCAAATCCCAAGACTGGTCGCAAATAGTTGCCAAATCTCCATAGATGCTGTGAGTTCCTTGCGAAATGGGTTTCTCAAAAGTATTCAAGTCCCAAGACTGCTTACATAGGTACCCTATATTCCTAGTCAAGACACGAACTGGTCAGCTGGCTACTAAGCTTAGCTTGCCAAGATAGTACTCATCACCCTGATCAGCTCTCCAAACGCATAGCGCAAGGGTGCGGCCGACTCGGACTAGCAGAAGTGTTCGACGCCGAGGTCGAAGGGGCGCGAACCGGCCTCAGAAGGGCTCTGCTCACCAATCGCGGTCATCCAATCCACATATGTATCGACAACACCAGCGTTATACAAGGCATCCGCGGCAAGGCGCCGGACTCGTCACAAGACGCGTTCCTCGAAATCCAAGAAGCGGCCAGGATATTTGATATACGGACGCACTGGTCCCCGGGACACCAGGGCATCGAAGGAAACGAGGCCGCGGACCGGCTGGCCAAAGAAGGAACGACACTGCCGGCGCGGATGGGTCAAATGGCAACACTAGCGGGCATCAAGCGGCTTGCAAGGGAAAAATTACAAAGCCAGCACAGGAGATGGTGGTATAAAGAGCGAAGGCCGCGGTACGCGGACTTGGGGCTTGAGGCAGCTCTGTCCAGCCCTCCTGAACTGGCCTTGCCGCGGGCTACGTTACATCACCTGCTGGCGGCACGATCGGGTCACGGGGACTTCGAGCAATATCACCGACGTTTCAACCACGACGACGCTCTAATGATGTGCTCTTGTGGAGAGGCGAAAGACGTGGACCACCTGGTCTACTGTCGACTAACGCTGGCGAGGAGGCAACGGTGGCCGACCCTCCACTCTCGCAGTATGCCCGAGCCCATAGGTCCTATGGGATCTCTCGAGGCCTACTTCAAGAGATTAATCACCGACCCACGAGGCTTCGAGGCCTTTCTCCGCGTGACGGACTTCTTCCAGAAGATCTGTCTGCGGTAGCAGCATCCACACCTAGGTAGATGTGAGTGCGGACTACAAAGAACCTCCCGATTCCAAGGGACGATTTGGGAAAGAATGAAACTGGGGCACCAGCGGGAACCGGGGACAGACAGAACGCGTAGTGGCCACAAGGCATGATTTGGAGGACGATGTAAAGAGACGACGTACTGTAGAGTAGGTAGCCTTGGCTCACGGCCCTCCACGCCATATACCCTTCGGGAGGTCTGCGGTAAGGGCTCTAGCCCGGCCGCCACGGCGTTAAATACAACAACAACAACAACAACAACCCTGATCAGCTTTGATCATTGAGGATGAATCATATGATATGCTGTCCCAGGTAGATTCTCTTGTCTAAATGGCATAGGAACGCAATCTCGTCGACTAACAGCCCTTTTCTGACGACGACGCTACTAAAAAACAAAATACAATTAAGAGTTCCCTACTTCTATCCATATCATCAATGTATTGCAACGTTTGAGACTCTTCTAGCTTCCTCGTCCTCAGACTGCACCCCTTCATAAGTTGCCACGCTGAGGTTAAGCTATGTTGCATTCGTCATGCATCAAACCGAAGACTGCGCCGCCAAAGCTGAGTAGAGGCATGTTGTCCTGTCCAACATGTCCCAACCAACGTAACACTGTCCATCAGTTACGTCTTGCCACGACATTTCGCTCGCGTGGACGTCTGCCTTCACTGGTGGGGCTGCTTCGCTAAGAAGTGAAGGTTTGGGAGCTAGAGCCCCCTGCACGAGATTTTGCGCCGCCTGAGCGATGTATTCGTCGATGGATCGACACCCACAGCCGCTGTGCCGTAGCACCATGTTCTTCAAATAGAGAATCTCAGATTGAAGTTTGGCGACCTCATATTGAAGGTGCTTATTAATGTTGTTGATGGCGATTTCTTGGGTTTGGAGATCCTCATTGACCTTCTGCTTCTTCCTTCGGCACTTGTGTGCTGCCTGCCGATTGCGTGCACGGATTGCATCTTGCTTATTGTTGCCGTCGCTTGCCGAGGTGTACGAGGGACGGCGGCGTACATTTCGAGTCCGCACCTTAACGGGGTTTGTCTCGGCTGCTCGCAAGGGATTAGGGCTGCTGTCGGTGTTTGAGAGTCTTGGACGACCGCTGCGACGCTTCGGTCCACTTGCCCTCTCGGTTGGCAACAAATCCTCAAACACGTCTGCCGGATGGGGTGCTGCAGAATACCAACGTAGGTCTGGCGTTGAAGCACCAGTTGTCCTGTTTGCGGGGTCGGCATCCCTATCGGAGCACATTCCTCCATCAAGATCATCATAGAAGGGCATTTGCCATGGTATCGAAGTTTTCGTGCAGGGCAGAGCTTGTTCTTGCGCCCCCAATGAAACAGTCGTCAGAACTGATGGAGATTCGAATGAAGCAAAGTTGGAAGCTGCCTTTGGGATAGATACTCCTTGTTTGGAGGCTTCATTCCTATCGGTTAGGCTTACACCATGATCAAAGAAGGTCATGGTTTAACGCAAATGCAGGGGCTATGTGAAGAATAGAGCGTGCTGGGGTCGGATCTCTTCGTTCGTGGTCGATGATGATGTGAACCTGATGAGTCACAGAGGATTTCCCATCAACTAAAGTCAAACTGGAAGAGGGACTGAACCTAGTTAAACAATCTGAGAGCTCGTAGACGATGCAAGGACGGGGATTGACATGCCAGGCCCTTCATAATGACGACATGGTAGGAAAACCCATAGCCAAAATGTGTGCCTGCAAATGGCCCACTCGTGCCAAGTAAGAGAACGCTGCATCGAAAGCCAGTTGCTCATATGAAACTGCCTCGGCCTGGTCTAAAAGTGACTGCCGATATTAGATAGACATCAGGAAGACTGCGCTATCATTGAATGTTGCAAAGATTAGTCCCAAATGACGAACTGGCAAGGAACAGCTATACCCGTATGTTACTCGGGGTTACAAGCTGTTTGGTGGTACGCTTGTCACCACCATCACCGCGAATGATGCAGTATGATGTTCAGGCGACTTTTCTCCCTGGTGCAGTGAAGGAGCCCTTGCAGCCAGTCGCACCTCTTCCGCGTGTCGGAGTCATACTCCGAGAGGTACGCGGCGACTGATTGGATGGAGTAGCCACTCTCGCCTTGTGCGACAGTGGCGGACCCTGATGGCGGACCTCTACAAACACTCTGGTCAGTCGATCTGACAGGTAATTGTGGAATCGATGCCAGGAGTTTCCACCAATGATCATCACGCTCGCCAAATCCCTACTCTCCTCTCCGCCCTCGACAAGGTAGCTAAGACAAGGTCGGCCGTCTACTGTTTATTGATAATAAAGATATCCAACTAGGCTATAAAGTTAAGAGCATTTATAATATAGCTAGTTAATTATAGTAAAGTATATTAATAAGTATAAAATTCTCTAATTTAAATAAATAATATTATATTCATAATTAATTCCTAAAACTTACATTCATAAAATATGAATAATTAAATGTTTATTGAAAATAAATTAAAAAATAAAGTTAATTTTAAAGCCTAGCTTAAGTTTATCTAACATAAATCTCTTTTTTAAATATATTGTTTAATAATATTTTATTTATTATAATTGAATTATTTATTAAATAGTTAGTTATTATTATAACTAACTAATTATAATAAGTATAAAAGTAAAAACTAATTTGAAAAAATAATAAATAACATAAAACTAATTATAAATAGCTTTTTTTGAAATTATTATAGTAGTTGCGGCTATAAGAGAAGAAGCGGGCTAGAAAAGAAAAAGAAAGAAAGAAAGAGAAAAGCCCTAGTAATCTGGACGCTAGCCGGAAAAGTGGATTACTATACCAATAGCAAAACTCTTAATGGGAGTGAGCATGGCAGTTGGCTGACATCAATACGCAATGTCTCATGGATTTCTTAAATTGGGACTTTCACATCGGTGCAATTCATAGCTTTGTTCATGTGGCTTCATTCAATTTGCTGTTCCTGTGGCTGAACGCCCAATTTCTTAACAAGTCAGCGTTTGTGCGAAATACTCAATAAGGGTTCATTTCACCGCTTGGGCTTTGTACAACTGGGAAACGTGAGTATAACGACCCGAGGTCCTCTGCAAGCTTCTAAATATTCTGGGCTGGTTTCATTTTCCTTCATGATACCGCCTTCTGTACAAGAGCCTCCGGACTGGCCGCTGCCTGACCCTGTAAAAGACAGCGGCTGGTACGCCGAAATCTGGCTCAAGTACCCACTCGTACCAGACCTTCAACCAACTCACTTTGGCCACATCTTGCGAGCAAGGAGCAAATTTCGAGTCATCATGAATCAGTACTGCAACGCAGCGTTTTCTTCAAATGGTACTGTTAGTCTTGATGAGGCCAGGAGGCTTCATGAACAACTGAAAAGTTGGTATAGTGACTTAAGCCTAAGACGATTGCACTCCCTGATCATTTTCAACTGCAGTAAGTGTATACGTCCCTTACCTACTAAATTCCAGAACGAATGAGCCCGATTGATAATTTTTTGGTTGTAATATACACTACTATCATTTACTGCTCATGATGTACGAACCTTTACTTGCCGTGAATAAGGGTCCTGATGTCGCCTTGCAACACATTGTTGCCAATGGAAAGAAATATCTTGAAACCCTGATCCGTCTTTATTATCTCCGGCATGATTACGAAGCCATGGATCTGTTCCTGGTCATTCCTCTCGTGCTCATAGGATACGACTGCATCAACGCAATTTTGGAAGAAAAGTCTGGATATCGAATTGAAAACCTGCGGTCTACGCTCATCCTAGTTGCGAAGGGGTTGCATTGTCAGCGTCGTAATCATTACCTGGCAGAAGCGCTGTTTCGAATCGTTAGGGGACGGATGCGCCCACAAGAGGTGGCCCTTCTGAGAAGTTCGATGACTTTTGACGACAACCGGGAGGAAGAAAAACACGGCATGGTACAAGCCGTGCGCAGTCGATGGCCAGTCACTGTTGTTAGCAAGCAGGAGGATGTGAGTGATCACATCTTAACACATCTTGTTGAGACCTACGGGTCGTTGTACGCGGAGGAGAACGCTCGGTGATGGGTACTGGACGTGGGTTGAGCTGCAATTTCATTCCACTTGGCACCCAAGTAAAAACTCGATTGTACCTTAGTCGGCTGCTGAACCTCCTCACCACAACATGTTGCCGCCTACATATTCCCATCACTTTGATCCATGTAGGCAAAATGCCCTGGCGGCTGAAATTACTTAGTGCACGCTATAATCCATTCGTAACAATTGGTATATAATCTAGCATATGTGATCCTAATGTTGAAACTGTTTACACCTTTAGTAAGTAGGACTTTCCCACGGCACCAGTTCGATCGGATTAGGGCTAAAACATGCATCTGGACAGGTCGAGAAGTGAGTAGGCGAGTAGCGGACACAGACAGGGGTAATACAGACGAAGAACGAGGCAGGGATGATATGAAAGAGGGCACCATGTCCAAATTAATCCCTCTCACTCCTAATCATATAACATATAGCTTCAAGAGTTGTTCCCTCCTTGTCTATGGGTAACGAGGAACTTAGTTCTTAGATCCATAGAATGAAACAGCCCCTCCTTTGGGCAACTGTAGAGGCTCTGAAATGACCGACTGGGTGCAAGATTTCTTCTATAGGAAAATATAAAGAAGTGCCTTACATAAGTCTTTAGTTCGCCTTTCCGGATCCCCTACATTAGAGGCCAGTGTAGAACCACTTATCTCTGTAGTCTGTGTGTAGATAATGAAGCCCTTTGGGAGCTTTCTTTGTTTTCTCTTGGGCCTCCAGCCAAGTCCATTACTTCTGTTCTTAAGTAAGAAACATTCCTCGGAGCTCCGAAATTCCCCACGAATGAGATCGCGTATTTATATCGTCGAGCTGCAGATTAAGGGGCCCAGCAGAGCTTCTCTGCGAAGCTCCAAGATCCTTAGCAGAGAAGAAAGTGACATTCTGCTACATATTAGAACTGGTACGGGGCTTTTCTCCTGTTCGTGAAATCCTTAGTTAAGTAGACGACTAAGTATGGTGTCTGAGACTTACCTTGTAAGCAAAGCCTACCATTACGATAACAGCTAGTTTCATCCGTTTATGATTGGGTAGTCACACTGGCTGCTGGGAGCAGGTGCGCTGAGTGGCTTGTGGGAAGATGCAGATGAGCTTGGAAATTTGAGGTTCAGTTGACGAGCTCTCAAGGACCAGAGAAGCGGGCTGCTACCCCAACAAGCAAAGAGCACGGCCACAATCTGCATGGCTAGGGACGGTGACAATTAAGAACATGCTGGCAAATGGATACATTTTGCTGACGCGAATGCACGAGTGAGCATCGCACTCTGGAGATGCGTCGCATTCACAGCGGTAGATTCAAGTAGAGGGCCTCGGAAATTTCTTTCCTGCCCTATAGAGTACTCCCTTAGCCTGAGGGATAAGAATCCTCCTTGTTCATGGGGAGAATCAGAGAAACGAAAGAGTTCCAGGGCCATGGTGGTCGTACTCATACATATTAGTGTACAGGCTTTGCCAACCACCAATCATTATCCTCCCTCAAACACGGAGGCTGCGCCTGGCCCTCTGGGCACTTATCACTGGTTAAGTTTCATTCTCGATGCTTCTCAACCTATCAGAACGTTCGGACCAAGCTCCATTTTGCCTGCCGGGTTGAGTGGATGGAAGGACCATAGATGGATTCGTCCAATCCATTCTGTCTCCTTGCGCTGTTTTCCAGCGCATTGCCATTGGACCTCAGCCTCAGTCGCCTCACTCAATGAAGCAAGTACGTGGAAGGCCTGTGACATTCGGCTTGAGTACGGTTGGCCGGTTTTTGGCTGCCAAATATGTGAGGGGGCCTTGGTTGCAGCTTTGCAATCAAGTCACCTGGGCTCATTCCCATTCCCTCATCGGTTCCTCATAGATCTCAGTAGCCTGTTTCCCTATAAGTTTGGAAGTGCATTCGTCTCTTCATCGGTCTGATGTGGTCACTGAATGTCTCCAGTTTCATCCATCGGGCAGCAATCCAACATTCCCAGTACCAATTTCTGTCTCATCAGTTCATCTAGTGTGGGCGTGAGAGCCGTCTTTATTACGTCGCCAAAGCATTGGAGATTTGCGGTCACTTGCGCAAGTACGATTACTAGGCAGGCTGTTCCTGAAGGGATCCATTTTTATCCTGTAAGCGAAAGTCCGTGCGTTTACCCAGAACAGGATCAATCCAGCTGACCGCTGCAGGGCAGCAGGCAATGGCTTCGTCGGACGACCCCTGCCTGCCAGATATGGCTGACATTACCGCTAGCATGTTCGCGCCACTATATCCCGCACCTCCTGGCCAGATCTGCTTGGTCTCCCATGGTGGTGATCTCCAATGCCAGCAATGGATTGGGCGGAACGACCAGGTAGCCGAACCCACGTATGACGAACAGGAAGCATTCAACTTTAGACATTCTTCGCATTTAGAGTTTGACGCGCAGAGTCTGGAGTCTTCACACTTTGGAATGGGTGCAACTCATGCAACTGCTATATGGGCTTTCCAAGCGAACAACTGGCCGGCTTTTCAACAGGAAAACCTTCAACAGCCGCTGCCATCCCTTGAAGATACATATAGAGACAAGGCCTCGCTTCATTATCTCGACGCACAACCACAGCCCAAATCCCATCCTCGAGTCGAGGAATCGTCGCAACAGATGGCAACGACGAGGACTGGGACGAGTACCAACATGAAGGCCCGCACTGCTTCTGAGGCCCGCCGACAAGGTCCCGAGAGTAAAAAGATGGGAGCTAGAGGTGGGCCGTCTTCGTGGAGCTCAAATTTAGACGATGAAAAGACGATGGCAATAAAAGTCAACAGCAAGGACAAAGATGAGGGCGAGGAGCCGGGCGAGCAGGGCAACAGCTCGCGTCTGGGCCCGAAAAAAGGTTACGGTGTCAAGAACAGGGCAGCTGCAAATCGATCTCGGGAGAAGGCGAAACAGTACGAGCAACACCTTGCAGCGAAAGAGTACGAAGTAACAAAAGAGAGGATATACCTCGGTGCGCGCCTGACAGCGCTCAAGGGCGAAGTGCTGAACCTCAGAAACCAAATCCTACAGCATGGCGACTGCGACTGTGAGGTGATCCAGCGGTACATCGCCAGAACTGCGGGCAGATAAAGGGCGGCAGCTACGCAAACGCACACCGGAGCATTTTCGTCAATTTGGAAAGAAAGCAAAGCCAACGATGGCTTCTTCCTTCTGAGGAGGTTGGCGAACCGTTACTGCACACGGCAAGAACAATGTTTCGATTATGAAACAATCAGATTTGGCGGTAGGATACACAAGGAAGGAGTGAATGGCGTACGCATGAAGAAGCGAATTGGCGCATGGACAGAGGCTGGACGACTTCGGCATGCTGTTGTAGAATTGTGGTGTTGAAAACATCAGCGACGCAGCATCAGGATATGTGTTGCTTTTGTTTCGCATACTGTCCTATCTTTCCTCTTCCACCTTCCGTGTCAGCCCTATTCCCCGCGACTGAGTGTTGCAGCTAGTCAGCTAAATATGTTTCTAAGTTTTCACTTATATCTATTTATTTCTTCGTGAAGGGCCCCCTTCAGAAGAGATGCCGCCCTTCTTCACTCCTTTATTGCCATCTCATAACTTCCTGTCCGCCAATGGCAAACACCTGATCGTACACACGAAGATGAGACATTGGTCAGCTGGTGACGTGGCGGCCATGGGGGAACCGAACGAGCCATCTAAAATGCTTCCGTATTCAGTACAGCAGTATGATTTACTTCGTCTTTTTATTATATAATACGTAGTCTATAGCGTGGCCTCATCAGATCACTCCGTCGAGAGTGCGAGACCTTTTATATCAGGAAGCCAAGGCTCGCCCGACCGCCGGTTCCTGATCCCGGTACCCACCAGTCCCCTCACTTCTATTCCGGCAGATAAGCGGCATTGGAGCCGGTGCCAAGCCAGGCCCCTCGTATCCACACCGTCTTGTCGCCGGGGTCAGGGTTTCTGAACCCGGATGTAATCAGTCTCTTGTAATTGGCGGGTTCCGTCAAACAACATCCCTCGAAATTCGTCAGAGAGTACGTACATGTGTAAGGGCCGTTGATCATGCAGATCTCATTTTCTTGTGCACTTTCCATGCGGATTCAGACAAGAGTCACCCGCACCGAAGCTATCTAACCTATCTCATGCGGAGATATCCTGTTGGGGTTCGAGTCACCAGGGCTGAGTGGCTCTCGACAGTGACGGCCAAGCTACTCTTGAGACTGTGGAACGGGCTTTATTAAACACGAGTATAGTGGTAAGTGGCTGGGGTCATCGACTATAAGGAAATGCGGTCGTCGAAGATCGAACCCTTTCGGCCTCTGGCGCCGTGCAAACAAGGCAAATGAACAGACTTTCCAGATGTGGTTGTGACATAGTCATTGCTAGCACCTGCGGAGGCGAAAACTTCCGCAATTGACGTTAGAAACCATAATTAGTGGACCGCATGCACGCCCTTTCAAACACATGTCCTATTACGTTTCGGCAGGAACTAGAGGAAATACACGGAAGCGCCCGGGCCTATAAAGACGGTAGACCGACATAAACCGCCGTCATCAGATCAACTTCAGCACTATCAATTTTCCCCCATCCACATCAACAAACAACGAAACCATTTAACTGAATCCTTGTGCCCATTATCTGATCTTCGACAACATGCAGCTTCGGAAAGATCACGTGGAGAACAGCATCCGGGTGCTTCGTCAACTCATCAAGGATTATCCCCTCGGCATCCTCACAACAGCCATTCCGTCCGCCGACCACCCGTTCATCCAGTCCAGTCACATTCCCTGGGTATTGGACGTCGAAGATGACTCTAGCGAAACTGAGCTGGGCGTCCTGAGAGGGCACGTGGCGCGCGCAAATCCTCAGTGCAAGGCGATGGTTGAGTCACTATCAGCAGAAAACCGGACTGATACCGGAAATGTTCTCGATCAGGAGGTGCTGGTCCTCTTCACCGCGCCCGCCCATTCCTATGTCACGCCGAAGTTCTACGTCGAGACCAAGCCGACGACGGCTAAGGTCGTGCCGACGTGGAATTATGCCGCGGTGCAGGCGTACGGCCGCGCTAAGATCTTCTACGAGTCAAAGGCCGAGGAGACGTCGAGTTTCCTGAACAAGCAGCTTCACGATCTCTCACAACTTGGAGAGCAGTCAATCATGGGATACACCGGTCAAGGTGGCCGTCCTGGGCCGTGGCAAATTTCGGACGCCCCACAACGGTACATTGATCTGTCTAAAATGGCTATCATTGGCATCGAGATCACCATCGACAGGCTGCAGGGCAAATTCAAGATGAGCCAGGAGTTGGGCGAGGATGATCGCCAAGGTGTTGTCGCGGGGTTCAAGGCGTTGAACTCGGACTTGGGCAACCAGATTTCAGCACTGGTAAAGGAGCGCGGCGAGTTGAAGCAGAAATCTAAACAATAAAATTCACCTAAGGTTTTGTCCATTGAATGTTGTTTCTTGAGCGATAGGTGACTCTCAAACCATTGCCCCGCGTATTTGGCGTAAATCTGGGGTTCAATATTAACGGGCCGCAAGCGCATGTAGCCGGCCCGGTGCTGAGCTAGGGGGCGGCATGTAGGTACGACTTTCAAGCGACCAATGCGAGGTAATGAATGACCCAACGAACCACTTGAAGACCAAACTATTGGCTTTGTAGAATTACCAACACCGGGCCGGCACCCAGCTTTATGTGAAGTATCCGTCCACTCATCATGATACTCTTTGCGAACGAAGTCTAGGAGACAACCTAATTGCTCGGTGATGTCTCAAAGAGCTAGCCTCGATAATCAGGCTTTTTGGCTGAAAGAGAAAACATTATGACTCGGTGTTATTGAGAAAATCAGTAACGAGGTAGATTTAACAGGCGCGTTGAAATCATCAACACCCCTTTCCAGCATTGCCGTGAACCTCCCGCCACTTACTACACCCACTCGCAGCATTCACGGCTGCCCCACCATTCTTCATGATATCCGTAGTCCACCCAAGCGAGCCCCGAACCACCATGACATCTCCGCTATGAGCAAACAAAAATTTCTCATCGGGCTCAATGACCTGTTTGTAGTAAGGGTCCGCGTAAGCGGACAAGAACCGCTCGATGCTCGACACGGTGAAGTCGGCTGCGCCGTCGTATTGTAGGAGGTACTCGTCCGGCAGCCTCAGAGCTTTCTGAAGGGTCGTGCGGTTTGCCTCGGTGACGTGATACTGTGGAATCCATCTCGGTGAGTTCTAAAGGCTCTCTGTCTGAGGACTGGGTAATGATATCACGTCACTTACCTGAGTGTACCGATTGACGCCGTACTGGAGAGCCCATGGCACGACGAGGGGGCCATGCGTGTTCGTCCAGTGATCGTGGAACTCTTGCTCCGTCATTCTAGCCTTTCGGATGAAGAAAGTGATGATGCGCGCAGATTCGTCCGCTAGAGCTGGAACGAGAAGCGTGAGAAGGGCACCAAGGCCGCACGTTGTTGACGTGAACTTCATCGTGTACGTTGGCTGAATGATTATGTGTAGAGGTAGGACCTGGGTTCTCGATTTAAGCTGCAACCATCGGAATGTGACGACTTTCCTTTTCTTCTGTACTTTTCGGACCCCAGAGTTCAAGAGAAGAGCCAGCCTACATTTTCAATGGGTCTTGGCCTTCCGCTGAGGATCGGGGGTTACAATTTCCGTCAAAGCGGCCTGGCATCGCCGACTCCGTCTCGTTCCTCGGGCAAGCCGGAGCACGTATCTCGAGAAAGAGATATGGCTGCGATACTTTGAAGGTGATTCGTGATGCTCGATAACTTCGGCATGAACGAGCAGATCTTGAAAATCACCGACTACGATATCGAACCGTTGATTTGTTGGTTTTGAGACCCCAGTCATTTGCGGCAGGATGCGTACGATGAACCCTGTTTGTTGGCACATGAGTTTGAAGCAGGCTGCAGCATTCTGTCATTCCTCCAAATCAATTACGCTTTACGTTTGGCTTGTTCTTTCTCTCTCAAGAGGTTTGAATTACGACTTTGTGCTGCGTTCTCTGAGAAGCATTTCATCTTAGACTGAACTTAGTGCTTCCCGATTTCGGTGTGGATCTTACCCAGTAATCGGCAAGGACTAAACGTCAAACCTCGTAGTAAAGAGCTGAAAGCTTGTAAGTTGCACACAATGCTCCGAGGCCGCTTGTTCTGCGTCGCTCGACGGGCTATTGATTCCCGTGGGTGCTCAACCTGACGGGCAAGTCGGAAGGATCCCTTGAGTTTAGACCAGTCTCCTTCCCCTCCTGCTCTTTGCGCGGGGGATTGATAGTGAGAAGGGATCGGCACTACAGTCAACTGATACTCGTGGAACAACTAACTCACATGCGTTATCAGTGCGAATCAAGCCTCACCTCATGCAACTGGCCGACTTTGGTATGCCGCTTCTCGGTTTCGTGTGCGGGGGGACGGGCGGGGGAGCTCGGGTGTTTGTACGTGCGGGACAGGCCGAGGAGGGGTCGAGAAACTTCATGCGGCTCGACGGAAAAAGGTTGACGACAAGGACTTTATTTGGGATGAAACTAAAGCTCGAATTTGCCAGCGCCGACTACAATCATCGCACGCCGCCAATATTGAACAAAGACATATGACTGCCAGGTTCTACGCAGATATCTCCGACTTGTGGTGAAAGGAGACTTGGGAACCGTATACGACCACGTTTGCCCATAAGGAGACCTTCAAGCTGCCTCACAGAAATTGTATTCGAAATCTCGACGGTCGCCCGCATCATATGATGGCAGAAGGAACGATACCCAGGAATTTCGAAGGCATAAACAAACATGGCTCACTCAACGACGCAGAAGCCGGCGGATCGCACTCAGAAGCACCCCTCGAGGTCCACGGAGACGAAGACATCGTAGCGCGGATGAACAACCTCGATCCTCCCGTGACGCCAGAGGAGGAGAGACGGGTACGAAGAAAGATAGACCTGCGGCTGCCCCCCTTCCTACTCATCCTCTACATGTTCACCTGGCTAGACCGCGGGGCGCTGGGCAACGCGGCGCTAATGGGGATAAAGGAAGATCTTGGCTTCTCGAGCAGGGATTTTTCTCTCGCCGTGAGCATGTTCTTCGTCGGGACGGCGATATCTGACCTGTTTACGAATATCGGAATGAGATATATCCGGCCTTCGGTGTACCTTGCTACGGCTATGGTAAGTCTGATTCCCAAGACGATAGATAATCAATACAAGGAAGAAAGCTCACTGATTACATAGATAATCTGGGGTATCTTTGCAACGCTGCAAGCTGTTGCCGGCGGTCCCAGCGGGATGTTCGCCATCCGGTTCTTCCTCGGCATCTTTGAGGCGGCCTTCATCTCCGGGGCGCCATACCTGACGACAGTCCTCTATCCCAGAGCAGTAAGTCTCCCCTCCATATGCTCTTCGTCCTCTCAACTTCTGACGTAACATCACCAAAGGAATGGGGCCGCCGCATAAGCGTCTACCTCTCAGCAACCCCCCTCGCAGGCGCCTTCGGCGGCTGGGTAGCCTACGGCGTCTCCAACATCTCCAACCCGCTCATAAAGCACTGGCAAGCCCTCTTCGTCATCGAGGGGCTCGTCACCATCCTCTTCGGCGTGGCCTGCATCTGGGTTCTCCCTGACCGCCCGCACAACACGCGCTGGCTCACCCCGCGCGAGCGCGACGTCGCCACCTGGCGGATGATGCGCGACGGAAATCGTACGCACGGGGAAATTCACTGGCGCACGACGGCGGCGCAGCTGACGGGAGACTGGCGGCTGTGGCTGAATATCGCGATTTACATGGGCCAGGTGTTGCAGACGTACACGATTGCGACATTTACGCCGATTATTGTGGCGACGTTTGGATATGATAACGTCAAGGCGCAGTTGATGACGGCGCCACCGTATTGTGTTGCGTTTGTCATGGTGTTCGTTGTTGGGTGGGCGAGTGATCGGGTGAAATCGTGTTCGGGGTTGTTGGTGGGGTGTTCTGTTATAGCTGCTGTTGGAGATTTGTTGCTTGCTATGTTGCCGCATACGGCTGCGAGTGCGAGGTATGGCGCGACGTTTTTGATTCTGTCTGGGATTCTGTCTGGCGTTACGTTGAGTGTGGGCAACATCACGAGTAATTGCTGCGGCGATATCAAGAAGGGGATCGCGACGGGGTTGTTTCAGTCTTTTGGGAGCACAATGGGCATCGCGACGGGATATCTCTTCCCTTCGACAGATGGACCGAGCTATAAGAAGGGGTTCTGGACGTTGTTTGCGGCTACATGTTGGACTGGCGTTGGGGCCGCGTTTGTGACGGTGACAAATATCAGGGAAAATAGGAGGCGAGATCGGGAGTTTGGGAAGCCCCCTCAGGATGTCGTGATTGATTATGACGAGGATGGTCAGATGGAGGATCATCCATACTGGAGATTCTACCATTAGGCTCTCGGTAATTGATAGAGATTAGAGACATCCGATTAGAAGCTATACCGACCAAGACTGGTCTCGAAAACCTGCCTACCGAGCTCCTGCGCCTAATCCTCGAACCCTTCGCTGCCGTCCCCGTCCGCTCCCGACGAAATGACGAAGTGCCGCAGCTCAGCTTCTCGCGCGATAACCGCCGAGTACTGAAGAACGTCTCGCAGACCTGCCAAGTAATCCGAGAAGCCGCGATGCCCCTGCTGTCCAAGAACCTCTGCTTCTTCATGCACCCGTCTTCCGACTTAGAGCTGTGTGCCCTGCTCCAGTGGTGGTCCAGCCGCCCGGGACAGCTGTTGGCGGTGCAGTCTCTCTATATCAGTACCAAAGAAGAAGGTCCAATCGGCCCCGGAATGAGGATGAGCTGGCTCCCACGGCGTCGGAGATGGCGTTCCTGCAAGCCGCCGCGGAGCAATTTGGACTGCAAGCAACGGACGATTGGCTGCAGCCGGGCATCCAGCGGACTCATGTCTTGGTGATGATGGTCCTTCTACAGGTGCGCAACATCAAGACCTTGGAGCTACCCATCAATATCAAAGGGTTCTTAAGATGTCTCCCCACGGGGGGCGTCGAATTTCCGACACGCTACGATGCGCTTATGGACATTCGGCTTGGCAAGAATACACCGGGAACGTCTGATACTGCGGGTGAAGATGACCCGTACTCCGGCAGCAGCGACGCAAGACGTCTGCTAGAATAAGCACCGCGGCGCGAGACAGTCCATCTTGATTTCTTCGCAGGCAATGATCGAGAGTGGTCCGCCATGGATTGGTCCAGCGTCAGGAACCTGCACTTGCAGCAACTAGAGAGCGATGACGTCCATGTGAAGGAACTGTCGACGTATCGCCATGTTGTACATGCCTGTGGAGGCCTGCGAGAGTTGTCGATTTGCCTCACTATCGTCGACTGGGGCGTAGAAGAAGGTGGAGAGCTCTTGCGACACATAATGGCGCACAGAAATATTCTCCGGGAATTAGACTGCGCCTGGGATCTACTAGATGAAGGTGAAGATTTCACTGCAGCGATGATGGCGGGACGTTGCCGGAACCTCGAGCTGCTCAAGTTACCTGAATCACTCGCTCCGTGGACAATCATCGAAAGGCTGCCCCCATCGACACGCTGGCTGTATATTCCCGCGGACTACTCAATTCAAAAAGACGGAGAACACGGCTACTCAGAGTGGCTTAATAACTTTACCGGTTTGGACGGTCCACTCTGTGAAAGGGTGTTTGAAGATGGAAACCTCCCTAACCTCGAAGGGGTGGTCATTCCGGCCTTCGAATGTCTGCACGGTCAGCAAGGTCTGTCTGCGCTGAAAAACGAGCTCAACAAAGGCTTCGTGCTGAAGTTCCCAACCACTTTATCTTTAGAAACAGATGTTGCTATCGTGGAATGTAAGGTAGCGAGGAATGTTCGGGAAGGACTCTTCATGCTCCTCACGTCAGGGTTGGATGGTGGTTTTTGAAGGAGTCAGGTCAGCGTTGTTAAATACAACTCTTGGGAGCTGAGAAGACTACGGACGACGCATAACGTCGGACGCGTCACGTTCGTTCAACAGCGGCAGTGAGATGGGCATACGTTTGATACGGATATAGAGAAACTCGATAGACCTACAAGTAGTCTTTACCAGATAGCTTGGAGCAATCTGATATTCTGTCAAATATAATACTTGCCTTCGTCATAATGGTCTACGGATGTGGCCTTAGAGGCAATACTCTACAGAAAGTGGCAGTCGTCGAGCATTCTTCCAGCTCACGATCAACTTGTAAAGTTATGTGAGGAGCAACTGGCTGGGCGAATCGGAGGCGGCCTCAGTCAATCGAACTGTTTGGGCATCAGGAAAGAGCAAGGGCCAGCCCGGTATCTGATCACGCTGGGGGGCAGAGGGCCGGGACGGGCGGGAGACCGGGCTGGTGACTGGGATGTTTGCTTGTGTTCTGTAGCCGGGTCATGGATGAACAGGATGCGGTTGGGACAGGAGTGTTGGAACTCGGACGACGTAGACGACGAGGGATGGGTATCGCATCTCGACATCTGTTTGCTTCTTGGCGGTTGGTGATGAGAAATGATGTGCTTGCATGGTATCTGCATCTTGAGCACTATCTTGGAAGGCCATGCATGACAGCAAGGTGTCTGACCATATCCGTATGATCGTAGGTTCCAATGGTGGGAGACATGTTGGCCTTGGCCAACCAGCCATTAAAGGTGAACATATATGTTGGCAGCCCAATCTATTGGGACCAGGGATCGAAGGAGATTCGTCACATCTTGAGCCAGGCTATTGGCGGTTGGCGGTTCTGGGCGGCGGAGTCGAATTCTGTTGCTTTCGCCTATTTGGGATGCACGGCAATCTGGACTTCCAGATTTGGCTGGAAAGAGGCGGCCAAGAGGAGGCGTTCACCGTATGCTTGACTCGGGTAAGGATTTGAATGCCATGTTCAAACGCTGCAACCGTAGCTTTGGGAGAGAGAGAGAGAAAGAGAAGAGGGGTTCTTGGACAAGTACGACTGGTCATCTGTCAGCGACGTTGGAGCGGTCCAAGTAAGCGGTTGCATGTCGCAGGTTTTCGTCCTCGGAGGAAAATGGTGCATTGCAAAACTCAGGTACCGGCTGGTGAGCGAACAAAGAATCTTGTTCATCAAAGAAGACAGCTGTTCAACAAAGAAGACAGCTGTTCCTCCACGAGGAAGCTTGATCAAGGTATGGTTAAAAGGACGGATAGAGTGAGGTGCAGTTGCCAAACATCCGTCCAGTGCAGGTCCAGGTCCAGTGGTCCAGTCGGGTCCACGGGTCGGTGCTGGACGGAATGCGGCGGAAGCTTGGGCTGGAAAGCTTCAACAGGCAAGACTCAACTGCCAACCAACCAAAAGTCAATGGGAAAGACTGGATATGAACCTGGAAGGTGCGGGCGACGGGACGGGCGTGGTTGCCCTGGCTGGTTGGTACATAAGGTAGGTAACGGCGTTGGTGCAGGTAGGTACGAGTACTCCGTACCTGCTCGTCGACCTGAGCTGTCTGGATACGTACCGCGGTGTGACTAGCGCAAGGAGGGGCACACAGGCGCGCATAGTGGAGAATAATCCAATATCGCAACCAACCAAAACCACCGAATTACCGCCCGTAGTGGCCGGGGTCCGAACGGGAAGGTAACCCCACTGGAGCTTTCCCTCTCCCAAATCTGCGAATCACGCAGCAATGCCGGGGGTCTCTCGCCTTTTTCGAACGTCTCCGCCGTCCCTCGTCCTCCTCACTCGGCCTTTCTGTCAAAGTTGTCGACCACTTCTTTGCCCGTCACATCCTCTTCTCACTCTGCGATTCGACCGCCACCAAGAACATCAACCGCCCCCAATATGCACCAGTCCACTATGTGTGCCGACCCATGCAGCTTCTGCAGGCCCTCGCCTTGCAGTTTCCTGGTCACTTTTGCCAGCTGTTGGTCAATTCCATCTCAATGTTTCCTTCGGCGGTCAACTTGACGGCCTCCACTGATCGAACCTCAAAATGCTCTCCCGTCATTCCGGCGTTGCTCCAATGACAGCTGGTCAAAGCGTAGTGTTACCTATGCTCTCAAGCCCTTGCCATCATCTTATGGCACATGGCATGCATGACCGAACCAACAAAAACTCAGTGAAGCATATCTGTGGCCGTCAGCAACCGCATCTTCCACGCCGTGGGAGGCCGCGACTGCCGCTTACGTTTCTGGATTGACAATCTCCGGGTACACAGACAGACTTCTTCACAGAGGACGTTACCTCGACGGTATTCCAAAGTCGTTCCCTGTCTATACAGCTGCCTATGACCACCCTCGTTCAGGTGTCTGAACATCGACCCAGACGACATCGACAAGAACTAGCGCTGCGGCGACGTTGGCAATCTGGACATCTTACCTCCCGCCGATCACACTCTTCATTCATGGCGCCCGGAACCAACGCAACCATCCCGCTTGCCATCCCTGGTCTTCATCTTCAATAGTCGTTGTCTGCCGAGCAAACGGCCGTACCTTTGCCCAAGAGCTTGCAGCTTGCTCCTGCATCGCATCCACACCTCTAGCGCCCACGCACCGGCCTGCATTGTGTGACATCCGTCCGCGGGGAACGACCAGAATCGCGGCCAGCCAATATTAAAGTACGGTCAGCCGCTGGGCCTCGTGCCATTCACACTCTCCCATCCGACCCAGAGAAGTCCTTCATCCCCCATCTGGCTTTTCATTGCACGACCCCATCGAGGCCGCAGCCCATCCGACCCTCTCCACATGGAATATTCGCCGTCTTATCACATATCCTCTGCCTTTACACATGTCACCACGCTTGACTGAACCCGCCTCCCGACCGAATCTATAGGCAACGTGACGAGACTGTCGATAACAGAGGTGTGCTCATCACGCCGCCCACACCCCAGAGTCAAACCACTGGGACTTCTCCACCTCGGAGCGTCTCCGATCTCACCTCCATATATCCCCTTGTGGCGTCCCCAATTCGCGCTTTGCCGTGCTCCCGTTTGTTTTCTTACCGGTCGCTTGTTACTCCGCCAAAGCATAGCATCGCATTGCATCGAACCTACTCATCTTGGGCCCGCTACCAAGGGTTCTTGTACACATTACGCAACAACTCGATTCTTCTCAGCTGGCAACACGATCAACCGACCAGCGAGGGGCAGGTGTCTTACTATCTCGACGACTCTCAGCCATTATACTCTCTCTCAGACTGCACCGTATGTCGACATAACTGTACATCTCCGCGCGCAGTCGCCTTACCGCGCAGTATAATTCGAGTTCTGTCGCCTTGCTGCAATGGCTACTCGTATCCGCGACCTGGCAGACGCTGCCACCAAAACGGCAGTACAACTAGCCAAGCGCATTGCCATCACGCCCAAACCCGACAGTCCGCCAGGTTTAATCGAGGCCTTGACAGTTGACCCTTGGTCCAAGTCTGGAAAATATGGCATGGGGTGGACTTACTTCGCGCTGGCCCTCATGGGAACAGTTCTGTTTATGCGATCTTGGCACTTTTGGCAAGACAAAATTCGCCAAGCCATCTACAAGCAAGAAGTGGAGGAATACTATGCCAACCTCTACAACACTGATCCCGACTACGCGCACGCCGTACATACGGGACAAGCACAGCACTTCTTCCCCGACTCTGAAGGGCTTGGCGAGAAGCAGTTCAAACCAAGGGCTCACTTCTCCTCAGTTGGCTTCGTTAACGATACCTTGGCCCTCTTCCGCTGGGTTTTTTACCGGCCGATTCCCGACTTTGTATGGGGTAGCCACCGCTTCACATTCTCCTCCCTCGCCGTAGTTACCTGCGGTCTCATCGCCTTGGCTTTCGTGACGCTCTACTGCTTTCTCCAGCAACCACTATACTGGCAGAGCATTCAATTCGGTTCGCCACCCGTTGCTATCCGAGCCGGAATGATTGCTGTCGCTTTGACACCTTGGATCATTGTGACCAGCATGAAGGCAAATGTCTTGTCTATCCTAATTGGCATCGGGCCGGAGCGCCTCAATGTCTTCCACAGGTGGGCAGGCTACCTCTGCCTGTTTCTGTCGCTGGTACATACCATTCCATTCTACGTTCAGCCAGTATGGGACGACGGTGGCATGGATGTCTTTTCTCGCCTATTCCCCGGCGGCAGCGGCGTCATCTACGGTACTGGTATAGCCTGTCTTGTGCCATTGGTCTGGCTCTGCGTCGCGTCTCTGCCCTTCATTCGCCGAGTCGCATACGAGCTCTTTGTCATGCTACATGTGCCTGTTGGCATGGTGTATGTTGGGCTCTTGTTCTGGCACACCAAGAATTACCTTGCTTCTTGGGACTACTTGTGGGCAACAGTCGGCATCTGGGTTCTCTGCTATGCCATTCGCCTGATCAACCTCAATTGGACAAGGCCATGGCGACTGAGCTTCATGGTCGGAGACGAAGCGGCCATTAGCCTCCTCGCTGAAAACGCCATCAAGATTACGATCCCGACTCAGATGAGGTGGAAGCCTGGCCAATATGTTTACCTTCGCATGCCAGGAGTCGCCTTTTTCGATAATCACCCCTTCACCATCTCATCGCTCTGTAGCGAGGATTTCCCATCCGAGTACGGCGAGCAGTACCGTGACTGCGTGCTGGTTTTCAAGCCGTATGGTGGCTTCACGCGAAAGGTCCTCGACATGGCTATCGAGAGAGGGCCATTCCACACATATCGCGCCTTCTTGGATGGGCCATATGGAGGCATGCGAAGGGATCTAGCAGCCTTCGACACCTGCATCCTCATTGCAGGTGGGAGCGGTATCACGGCATTGATGTCGCAATTACTCAACTTGATCAAGCGCATGCGTGATGGGAAAGCCATCACGCGCAAAGTGGTCGTGGTATGGGCCCTCAAAAGACTCGAAGCCATGGACTGGTTCCGTGAAGAGCTTAGAATCTGCCGCGAGTCTGCGCCACCAGAGAGCGTTACCTGCAAGTTTTTCGTCACTTCAGCAGTGCGCAACCGGGCCATGATGATGGCTGGCCACGACCGTCCTGCACCGAGGGCCTTGAGTCACATGTTCCATGACAAGCTCGATGGCTTTGTGGCAGGAATCGCTTCCAAGCGCAATTCCGCTCTTATCCAGTCTGTAGCACAAGGCGATCCTGACCGAGAGCAGGAATTGCGCGCCGAGCAAGAGGATAGAATCACCGCCCTACCGCAACAGAAATATTTACAACCCCATCAATACCCTCCTCCACCCCCAGGACCACCGCCCTCCAATCGCTTCTCTGCCCAAGAAGAGTCATTGCGTAAGCTCGAGGGCCGCGAATACGACGAGGAGGAAGATAGAGATTCCAAAAAGCGCGAGTTTCACTTCCCTCCAATCAACACCAAAGGCGAACTGCCGCACTTCAACTACGCACCGGCTTCCCCGAGGAAGATCCCCGAGACAAGCCCGCGAAACTCGGATGTGCCAATACGGCCTCCAGAGCTGGCTCACTTGAGGACTACCAACCTCCCGAGCGCAGGTCAAACCCGTCCCACCAGCACATTTGGCCCGCCTTCAGGCTTTGACTTTGGCTTCCCGGAGACGCCGACAGAGTTCCAAAAGAGCCTGATGCGCTTTGCTTTTCCCGTGCCCCATCAGATCGATGGCGGCTGGAGCGTCGAGTATGGCCGGCCGGACCTGGGATACATGCTGAAAGAATGGGCGACGGGCGGTGCCGACGGAAGAGGCATCCTCGGCAGGCGAACGGCGGTCTTCGTGTGTGGGCCGCCGGCCATGCGTGTTGGTGTGGCGAACACTGTTGCCCGGCTTCAGGCAGCGATATGGGGTGATGATATGCTCGAGGAGATTTACTTGCATACTGAGAATTACGCCCTCTGAACCAGGGGCCTGTATTTGTAATGACTGGACGGAAAAGATACCACGGGCGATACATTTTACGTCCATAATAACGAGCCTTTTATTTCACTTCACAAACCGATACGTGCCTGCTCTCGATGTAGAATCTTGAACGTTGACGTACTCATTCTTGTGGAGAAACTCATTTGACAGGAGATCGGGATGAAGGAGGCAGACGTAGGCTGTACAAGTGGAGAGCTTGTTTGACCTTGGCGTGCTCGGAGTTGTTGTCGTCATAGTACCTCGGCGAACCAATATCACAGCATGTTGTATAGGTAAACCAACGAAGCCCATCTCCAGAAATCATCATGACAACAATTCCACGGCAAGGTATTAGTCGAGAGGATGTGGATGATATCTCCATCAATGTAGGCACTAGGCGCCAGTGACAACTGGCCCCCCTCCCTACGTTCATATCGGCGCCCCCTATGGAAGAGTCGTAAAACTGTTAAACATGGGGGACGTCGGAAATAGGGCTGAGCTTGTGTGGCTACCCTTGCAGTATTCATGACGGCGACATTGCGACCTCTGCGGCCCTACCCTTCTCTTACAAAAAGGGCTGCACCACCGGTCATTTGGCGTTGCTATTCTTGTGAGTCTTCAACGACTCCCACAACTACACTCATCTTCTTTCTCGGTCTTGACTCTTGAATAGACTGTCAAAGGCCGTCTTCATATCTTCATCCATACATCACACCACAGTCTACCATCTACTTCAACAACCACAATGGCCTCAAACAACTCCTCATCTCCCGCGGACGACAAGGCAAATGAGATGTCCGGCATCAGCATGGTCACCGCAACCGCCTACCTCCGCAAACTACTGCGCGATACTCCGCCAGAAGAACTTAGAAAGATGCTGGACGACATGGCGAAAGAACGCCAGGCTTTTCCCGAGGAACGACTTCGCAAGAAGGAAGCCAGGGACCTGTTGGTGGCAGCGCGGAAGAGAGCGGAAGCCCGTTGCGATGAGCGGAGGGCTCAAAGAGACAGGGATTTTGAGACAGGGAAATGGGGGCCGATTGATATTTCGCCTCCTACTATGGAATTAATCGAGGACCAGGCCGAGTGGACTGAGGAGGAGATCCCTGAGCTTGACTTGTTTGGTGGGTTTCAACTGTCGCGACAGCTGGACCACCTCGGACATGAAGATTCAGAGGCTGGATACGAGTTTGCTCCGTTTGAGGAGGATGAACATAGCGAATACTTGCCTCAGAGTGCTGCTCCGTATGAATCGGACTGGATCCTTCCGTGGGTGGGCATCCGCGAGGAAGACTAGTAGACGCAAGAGTATGACTACAATTTCCTTCATCCCGACTTGTATTGCTACATCGATATTTCTCTTATCGAGAACTCTGCAGTCGATGAATCATACAACGACCTTCAATGGATGGAACTCCCGCCAGGAAGCCTAGGAAGTCCGAGAGAGTCAACACAATTAGAAAGACAGAAGAGGAAACATCAGGCAAAGTTGGCTGGGGTGAATGGGAAACAGTACAGGTCTAGCACCTTCCGATGGGGTCGAGCAACGTCAAGATGTCGCTCATTTGCCGTACTTTAGGGACGAAGTCAGAAAACCTGCGACATCTGGTCAATATATCGGGCTTAAACTCGCTGCGTCGCACACATGGCGCATCACATAGCACTACTAGCTACATTAATCGGCTACGAACATGAACAATTTACATAATTCCCATTGGCTTTCGTGTGATTTGCCTTGCTCTTTGCTTATCTCTCTCAGCTGCTCAGCCGCTCGAAACGCCGCTATCGCAACTGCCGATGTTTGCGCTCCGCACATTGACGATAGGGTTGACAGCGTGAACACCGGAAGTTCTTGGCGATGCGCCGGCCCCTCGCCCCAACTCAAGCCTCCAAATTCTTCATTATCCAACGACTGATGATCGGTCACTAGCTCAGTCAAGTGAGTAACACGATAGTTTGTCGCTCAATACTTTCCTTTGCACTCATTCTACTAGCCCTTTCACTTCTGTCTCTATCATTACTGCCGCTATTTCTTGCTGCTGTTATTGCTACCACTACTGTTACTACTGTTATGATTATTGTCTACTTTTTATGTATTCCGAGCAGAATACCCATCGGAAAGCGCGCGGCAGTTATGACAATAGCTCTAGACTTAGTAATGGTAGCTCTGGAAAGGCAGTCAATACTCGGAATACTCGTCGACTGGTGTTTGATTTTATCGCCCACTGGCCAGATGTTTGTGATAAATTCTCGATTCAGAAAAACCCCGGGGGAAAGTTCCAAGCCGGTATGGATACTTGGATCCTTTGCGCCCTTGGATTGACAGCAACGTCATTCCAGCATCCCACGGTGGTCTGACAGCAAGCAGGGCAAACTGGAGAAAACCTGTGCTTTGATTCGCCTGACGCCCCCGCGGAGATCTGATCAAGAGGCCGATAGATGGAGCAAGTGAGCAACATTGAAAAAGAAAAGGGTCCATGCATTTCTCCACGGCGCCTATTACCTTACCGTGCTTACCTGAACCGGCGAACTAACCCCGCACATCTCCATCTTATCCAATGCTCTAATCATGACAGACAGGGAAGAGGAGGAGGAGGAAGAGGAGAAAGCTCAGCTTCCTTGTTGCCGGCACTAACGCTAGCCGAAAGCCTCAAACACGTATAAAAACGGCGATCGGACGTTCTGTACTGTAAATTCCCCCTCATCCCAAACGGTTAAAGTCAGCCTATTCCTAACATCTCAAATTAACTACATCCTTTACTCTTTTTCTACTTTCAAGTACCGAACAGTACATACGTCACTACACAAAATGGGTTTGAAGGGAAGCTGCATGTGCAAGGCGATCAAGTACGAGAGTACTGGTAGGCTGACCCGATTGCAACATCCTGTGAACCACGCTGATAAGAAGTAGAGGACCCTCAAGTCACCGCCCTGTGTCACTGCACAGATTGCCAGAAGGTATGGAAATCTAATGTCACTTACTCTCATCAACTCCATACATGTAGCTGATGAAACCAGTGGAGCGGCTCAGCCTTCACCTCCAACGCCGTCGTCCCGCGTACATCTTTCAAGGTCACTCAAGGTACAAGAGGTCCTCCTCCACATTCTTTCCCAACTTTGCACTAAATTCCTATCATCTAGGTGAGCCCAAGTTCTACGACATCACTGGCGACTCGGGCAAGAATAATAGGCACTTCTTTTGCTCCAACTGCGGGTCTAGCTTGTATACCGAGCTGGACTTGATGGCCGACGTCACGTGCATCAAGGCTGGTGGGCTCGATGAGGGGAAGGTGAGCTTGGAGGGGAAGCCTGCTGTTGAGTTCTACTGCAAGGATCGGGTATCGTACCTGGTTGACGTTAAGGGTGCTGATCAGAAGCCCGCTTTCAGTTGAGTGGCGAGACGTGTACATATACTTGCAGGCGTGGAGTTGTTTGTTAGGCGAGCGTTGAAGTTACATGAGAATTCGAATTAACGTAACCGATGAGAGTTCCTCATCTGATCCGTGATCTTTCCTACTTTACATACAGAGAGATGCAAGTGTCGGATTCGTCGTCCTAGCCACTTCCTGGCCAGTTGTAGCTCGAAATAAAAGCACAGTACCAGCTGTCAAGGCTTTCGACTGCAGTGTACGAAGATTACACTAAGAATCTAAGCCAAACCCTAACGCGCGATTCCATCTCGCGCGTAGTTTAATGCGAGATCGTGAATAACATTCCCTGTGTATGCAGCCACGCGTAAGCTATTAAGCATCAACTTTCCTGCTCAAAATATGGCGTTATGCCAAAGGCGTGCTTCATATGAGACAATTGCTTCATGTTCTTAGTGCCTTTGACTACTTCGTACTCTATGTCGTTTTGATACCATTTCTGGCCAAGAGTTCTCGCACCTTTCTTTCGTACAGAACGAGTCAAAGCGTGTGACATCATTACCGCGAAACGTTCTAGGATCGAGACAACCAGCCCAAAATCCAAGAAAAGCGCGGCTGTAATCCTGGCCAACATGTGGTCGAAGTTTGTAATGACTCTTCTCATCAGTCTGTGAGAAGGAGAGGCTTAGAGACCATTGAAACATGGAAAGCGAGATCTAATGCCCATCCAAAGCCCAAGTGTAGGAAGTCAGGCAGTGGAAGCACCTGATGAAGTGTCTACAGGAACCGCCGCTTGCCATGAATCTTCCCATCATTTCAGGCTTGAAGCGATTGATGCAAGCGCAGCACTGGCGAGGGCCTAAGTGAGAGCTATCGGGCTTGTGCTGGTGCTGACTTCTATCCTCGTCAGTTGGGTCCTGGAAGCATATACGATGACCCCATTCGAAGGGCCGTAGGAGAAAAGTGTCGTCAAGGTCCACGTGAGGGCATAGAAAACAGTTAAGTGGGCGTAGGCCCCGGAGACATTGTTGCAGACGCTCTTTGGTGACAACTTCCCCACGGGCGATGGTATAAACGGGCAGTCTCCATTTTGTTGTCAGGATGGCGTCAGGATGCTATTCCGAAGGGAACGTGAAAAAGCCCGGAGCCAATCCACCACCAGCCTCGATTTTGGCGGCGCAAATCCGGCTCGAACAGGTTGATAAATTTTCCAGGCTGCACTCCTCGCTCATGCACTTCCTAGGATAGTGACTTCATTGACCGCTGGTAGTGAGGACAAAGAGTGAGCTTTCCTTCTCGTGGTATGCATAGCTGATTCTCCGGTGCCAACTTTCCATCCGAGAACCAAGACTGCATGTGATAATATCCACAATCGAGACAATTCATCCCTCTGCGATTTTTGTTGTTGTTGTAAGTCACTCTTGAACCTCGTGAAGAGAATATGCAGTCTTTGCAGAAAAGTCCTCTTCGAGCGCGGAGTCTGAAGTCCATCTGCTTCGTCGTCGAGCGCTGCAGTTGTTGAGTATCGAACCACATCCACCTCTGTCTACTTGGTTGATTTGGTCTTTCATTTGAGGCTCGCTGTATTTTCAGCAATAATCATAAGAAGCGTGCCACGAATATAGCCCTCAATCGTGACACGCGTAAATTGTCGATGTCCTCTTTTTGAGCCTTAGGAGGTAGGTCTTGAGCTCAAAAGCGTTAGCTCTTTGTAGGTGACCGCCCAAAGTTCTCCACCGCTGACACCACTGTTTTGACAAAGAGAGACACAATGTGGCATAGGGTTTGGAGGTAGGCTCTTGTGCAGGATGAAGGAAATCACACTCGCGTCGAAGCTCAAGGACCGCTGGCAGTGCCGACTGAGGGTTTTGGTGAGAGTAATCTTCCATAATACCAACAGCTACGATGCATGATACTCTGAGCTAGATAGATTTAGAGTACCCAAAGTAAAGATAAATATTTTTGACTCTTGCGTGTGCTCTGTGGTTCTCAAATTCTTAGTTGGGTGTTCAAGACGCGATTAAGGTGCTATAGTGAGGGAATGCCTCGGAGACAGCAATTGAAGTAAGTCAAAGCATGTCATTTCCATAAACAAATTCATTAGATACTTGTGAAAGTCATGGACTTCTGATGCTCTTCTCGAATGGTTCCCACCGGGCTTTACCGAAGAGGATCGTTTTCAGTGAAGTCTTGCCCTCTTGGCCCTCCCGGATGATCTGTATTCTAATTAGGCTGAACACAACAATCGGATGGGGCATTTTGCTGCTTACCGACTTCCGGCTCTCTCCTGCCTCTGGTTCTTCGACTCCACCTCCTCATCCCATTCATAGTCGTCCCTTCCCTCCTTGCCAGCGCCGCGGAACAATACTTTGACTTCAAGCCTCTTATCAAACCTCTTATACGCCTTGGGAGCGTCATCGAGGTCATACTCTGCCGTAGCAATGAAACCAGGCCTAGCCTGTCCGCTCTCAACCAGCTTCACCAGCGCAGCGAACGTTGGTTGCCCCTGCACAATACCGCTCTTCATCGTTAGCGCCTTGATCCAGAAGTCACTGATTGGCAGGCTGAGACTCTTCTTCATCTTCTCTGCATTGGGAGCGCCCGCGCTCTTCTCCTGGGCCCAGTAGACGCCCGGTATCCCGATCCCGCCGCCAACAGCGGTGACGGCGATGGCCTCACGCAGGATATAATCTTGCTGCGGCTTCAGCTCGGCATTAACGCATTCCTGACCGCAGCAGTCGACGCTACGGTTCACGCCGCCGGGACGGAGGGCCAAGATCTGCTCCGAGGCCGAGGCACCGCCCTTGGTAAAATTGATGGGAACGGCACCGATGCTGGCAGCTTTGGCTAGGCGCTGTGGAATGTGGTCTACGACGTAGACTAAGCTAGCACCGCGAATGATGGCGCTATAGGCGCAGAGCAGGCCGACGGGACCGCCACCAAAGACGGCCACCGAGTCGCCTGGCTGGAAGCCCGACCAGCTCAGTCCTTCCCATGCGGTGGGGAAGATGTCGCTGAGGAAGAGCCACTCCTTGTCGGAGAGCTTCTTAGGAATCTTGATGAGGGAGCTGTCTGCGAAGGGCACGCGGACGTACTCGGCTAGGATAAGGTTAGTTTGGTTTTGTGTCTTTCGAGTATTTAGCGACGTAAATTTACCTTGAAGACCACCCAGATCGCCAAAATCTTTACCGAGGCCGAAGCCATCGAGCTGAGGGAAGATCTGGTTGTCAGTGTCGATGACGCCGTCTTCGGGAAGGCCAAAGACGACAACGCGGTCACCGACTTGCAGATTGTCGACCGCATCGCCTACTTCCTCGACGATTCCCATGGCCTCGTGGCCAACTGGGTAAGGCACTTCAGCACTGGACATGATGCCATGGTAGATGTGGAGGTCAGTGCCGCAGATAGCAGACGTGGTGATGCGGACAATGGCGTCTTCGGGCTCCTTGAGATGCGGGAGTGGGATGTCCGCTTTGACAGCCATCTCATAGGGTTTGCCTTCCCAGACCACGGCGCGCATGGTCTTGGGGCGTGAGGTTTGATGATTGGTCATGATTGTTGCTCCTGGGTTATCAGGAATGGTCTGAGAGAGGTAGCTCAGTAATCGGCTTGTCAAGTCTCTTCATTCATGGGCCTCTTTATAGATCTTTGAGGTGTTTGTTTGAGAGACGATTTGTCAGATGCTCATTCTTTCCTCGGCGAAGATGAGTACATGTGTCATTCGGAACCGAATGGGACATATCTGATCTCTTTCTCGACCCCATCATTCCCAACTTGTCATTTTGGTGGCGGGAAACATCACCTGAGTGTGAATAGCCAATTCCCCAGGCCCAAGCCTCGTCATGCGGCAGGGTTGATCATCGAATATACTCAATGTAGAAAGGCAACTATGCCAAGAACGAACCCTGTGAAGCTGCTGTGAGTACGATTTATCCATCTCAACTTAGTCAGACGTCTAGCGAAAGCTGAACGGAAGTTCTTCCTCATCCAAGACGGTGCGCACCCTGTACTCAATATCACGTAGGGCTGACAGCGTTACCCCGGTGGCTCTTGGTCTCACGGATTGTGGTAAGCTGACAGCACCCTCCTCCATGCAAGGGCGCCGGGCAACTACGCATGAACGACTGGTGACCCTTGTTCCTGTCGATATTCGATTGGAAAGTCCGTACGAGAAGGTGTTGAAGCTGACGCGGAGGCACCCTCAACAGGCATGTTGGCCATATCAGTCATGGTTTGGGTAAAGGCATGAATGGTAAGTCAAATGGCGACAATCTGTTTCGGGAGGAGTGGATATGCATTCAAAGGTGCACGTAGTAGCTGAGGTATCTATGATACAGGTAGTAGTACATGAATGGAGTCAGTTGCACTCATTTGGCGACGACTAAGTGCACGGCAATGGACTTCATCTCATTGAGAAGCGCTTAGGCTCAGAAACGAACGCGGCCCTTGGTGAAAGCCAAAGCAAGCCAGCCAGCAATCAGGGCAAGGCCACCAATCGGAGTGACGGGACCGAGGAACTTGAGGTCAGGGTTGAGGATAAGGGCGTAGATGCTACCGCTGAACATGGTCGCACCCGCGGTGAAAAGACCAGCGGCGAGCGGGTTGGATCGAGCGATGAGAATGGCAACGGAGTGGACAAGCTAATGATTTCCTCAGGGTAAGCTACTGATCTCATTCATGATGGTAAGTGAAATGAAATAAGCGCAACTCACTTGGTAGTGAGCGGCGGTGGACCAGCTGGCAATCTTTGCGGGATCAGAGATGCGTTTCTTCAGGCCATGGGCTCCGAAGGCTCCGAGACCGACGGCGGTGGCGCCGAAGATGGCGCCAACTCTCCAAAAGGCCTGGCTGCTCATTGTCTCTTCTTCTTCGGCGGTGATATCGGGGTGGGTGGTTCGTGATGGCAAGAGCGAAAACGTCTCGTTTGCTTCAGCGCTAGACATTGGGGACGTGAGATTTGAGTGAAATGTGAGATTCGGTGGTTCCCTTCTGAAAGTTACGTGATGGCCCGGTGGGCTGAGAGCGCGAAACACCGAAGTGCGACCCCTTGGCATTTGCTTAGATAATCAAGCTGCAGAGTAGTGACCAGCTGGTCCCGACTGGCGCAGCACTCAAGTTACTTGTTTTGTCTCCAGAGCTTAGCGACAAGTTTAAAAGGGAACACCGGGACAAGAAAGGGGGAAGGAGCTCTTGTCCGTCTACCATTATACGGCAGAGGCTTTTCTTAGCCGGCTCTTTCGGTTCGGGCTGGGCATCAATTGAATACCGGGCCGGTGTCTGTGGACTCGGGGGTCTTCCGTACGGAGCTCCCGCCTGCGAGTAGAGCTGTCTACTCCACCAGGGCTCAACGCGGCACAATTCCACCCACACTAGAGCAATTCCTCGCTTCGGACTCCAACAATCCATATGGTCTGGTGGTGTAGTTGGTTATCACGTCAGTCTAACATGTTGCGTCGATTTCACGATGGTCTCACTGTTCACTGAAGGTCTCCGGTTCAAGTCCGGGCTAGATCATTCCATTGGGCGATTGGTTTAGTGGTATAATGACCGCTTAGCATGCGGTAGGTCCTGGGTTCGATTCCCAGATCGTCCATCCTTTTGCTGTAATCATAGACTGGACTTCAAGTGCGTGTTGTGATGTTGTTTTTGACGTTGCGGTGGTGGTTTCGGTGGGCGTGGGTGAGTCGCTACTCTATTTGAAAACGAATCTTCTCCCTATAGAGGAATCCTTGGCATGCCGGTAGAAATTCTCGGAACGAAAAGTTTGTGAGTTGAAGAGATAGAAGGGGAATAACACATACAGCCAGCATTCAACTCGGATTCATTTTGACAGCCAGAGGGCAATAACACCATGGATATCCGTACATAAGAATATTGAGGACACTGGTGCCCACCAACATTGTAGATCAACCCGTACCGAGAAGGTTTTAATTGGTTCGGGTTTGCGCTACCATCGACTGTCCAATCGCTCACTTTACAGTACGCGCAGGGATAAATACGACGGACGCTAAGGCAGGCGATGAAGCTTCTTTGGGGCGTGTCACCCAGTGACGATCTGACATATTTGGACTGTGGATGGCGTCGCAAAAAGAAATTTGATGATTCTTCTCAAGTGATGCCTGGATCGTAGAGATATACATGGATTGCTGCATGTGTATAGCTGATTAAATAAACAACATGGGCTCGCATCACCTCTTCATGGGTTGTCACTTTGAGTTCGACCAATGATCAGACGAACCGTCCAACGAACCACCCTTGGACGTACGGACATTACGAGATCTTTCTAGCAGCTCATGATATACGCGTATTTCGAATCCTGTACGGACGATCATGCCCTCACGGTTCCTTCAAATATTTGACGCAGGACAGCTAAGTATAAAACCTCTGGTCATCTTGAACTTCTTTTTGCGAAATCGACGTTCCATAGTAATCTCAATCTCGTCAGAACCATGCACTGCCACTCACTTCATGAAGCCGAGCGAGCTGAAAAGGTGTCTCGGGTCACACAGTGCGTGGTCCAGGGATATGCTTGTTAGCGGGGCACGAGATTGGACCGAGACTTTAAAGGAGTCTTTCTGCCCTTCCCGATTATGTTTCCGGTAACGATTCAATCGATGGCTCGATTTCTCTCTTGCTTTGTGAAGCCATTCTATTTCAGCATATTTGCATCAAACCAGCTGCTTTTGCTTCTCATTCGCCCAAAATTCGGAAGTGAGAGCTCCACGAGGAACATCGGCATTTTCAATCGCGCCTCTTTGCCCGACTGTCACTGGAAGCTCTTGGCAGAATGCGCCAGCGGACACCCCATCGAAAGTCAAGATTTGGGTGCAAGGAGTGTAAGCAACGTCATGTTAAATGTGACGAGTCCCGGCCGGCATGCGTCAACTGCACGACTGCGCTCAGGAGATGCTCATACCTCGACACCGAGGCGATGATACCATCATCATCCACGTTCTCGTATCAATGTCCGAGCCCAGCAACATCAATAGGGTCATCAACAGCAAGCCCAGCGGTGCCCATTAATCCCCCGGAACAAGCCACTTATCGCAGTAGCTATGTGCCGACAGACCCATACGATCTCCGGCACATGGAGTTGCTATATCATTTCGAGCATAACTTGGGCTACAGCCAAGGGTTCGGCGATCCTATTACGCGGCAAAAATACCAACAAATGTCATTGAAGCAAGCCTTTCGGGTGCCTTTTCTGATGGACGAGCTTCTAGCTATAGCTGCAGCGCATAAGAGTACTTTACCTGGAGAAGATCATGCCTTCTATCGCAGTGAAGCAACTCGACTACAGACAAGAAGCCTTTCACGTTTCACCGTAGCTGACGGCGATCTGTCTGACGAGGACTTCCTGACAGTATTCCTGTTTTCCACCTGGCTCGGTCAACACGTTCTTTTCGACACGTTCTCGGTCCCCGCTGATCTTCCAGTCACTCTGGATAAGCTAGTACACTGCATGGGCCTACATCGGGTCGTTCGGAGTGTCGTAGGGGGCTCGTGGGACAGGCTCCGGTCTCACTTTGATACCCATCTAGGTGCAGGGAGCCGCTTTGTGCAGGACATGATAATCAGAAGAGAACGGTACGAGACCGGCAACGAGTGTAGACATCTGTTGCGCCTCTTTGAAACGAGCGGCCTCAATGATGCGTCCAAAGCAGCGTGCCAGGAAGCAGTTGAGCACCTGCAGCTCATGTTCGACATTCATCGCAACACGGACATACCTGCGGGCCGGCGGTACAGCACGGTACAGGAGTGGTCGATTCGGGTGCCAGCAGAGTATGTCAGCCTGCTCGACCAAAGACGCCCTGAGGCGTTGGTGGTGCTGGCTTATTGGGGCGTGTTGATGCACAAGGCGGGAGACTGCTGGGCGTTCCGGGGCGCGGGACAGACCCTCGTACGGTCCATTGCAGCTCATCTTGGGTCGTATTGGGGAGAGTTATTGGCGTGGCCGAAGGAGATGACAGAAGCCCCTGTGATTTCGATATTAGGTCCGACTTGAGCCCATCATGAATAAATGTCCGAGAGGCAAGTGATGGAGATTAGTATTCATGATTCAGCTTCTTTCGCCTAGTGTGAGGTATGGAACCAGACCGGATGGCAGCCATCTTCGTCTCATGCTCAATTGCGACATGCAGCGTCTAAACATGGATGCTGCTGACCCCATAAAGTCTCACTCTAGCATCTGTACATCCCCACCTGCCCAAGACCCATGTTACCTTGCTCTTGAACGATTATCCCAGAGCACCACTGTATAGACTACGGTAGGACGGACCAAGTTCGTGGGGCGGGATCATGCCGGCTTCGATACGATCTTGGAGGGACCCGCTCATGTGTTCCCAACATGGAGTGAAGCAACGTAAGAATTCCTCAGTCCTGCCTAGAAAACCAAGAGAAGCGAATTTGCATAAGTCCGCCTCTGTTGTAGCTCTTCGCCCAGAGTATAGTGCACAGCACAGATTTCATACAATGATACATGTATCGTCCAGGCTCTAGGAGGCTTAGATTGATGTGCCTCTACGTGAGGGTGCCGTAATTTCTAGCGAAATTTGGTAATAGCAGTGAGTGAAGACAGAGGTAAGACAGTCCTTATGGGATCTCAAGGTATATTGTTTGGACGTCGCGAGTAACATGTACATAGTTCGTCTGCTTGCAATATCAAAAGTCCATACTGATGCAAAGGCCTTGGACCAGCTTAGACGCCGTGTTGGCATGTGACTAAGATATAACATTGCGGAACATCGTGGCCAAATCGTTGATGATACAAGCTTCTTACACGGAGTAATGCCTGTGCCGACTCATGATGACTTGGCCCGCGGGGAGAGATAGACCTTCATCTCTGTCTTGTGCCAGGTAGTAAACATCTTTTGCCTCCCTAACCAGCCTGCACTCTCAGCGTGTAACTTCATGTCAAAGTTCCACACAACGCGGGCAATGATTGTCCGGATCTCGGCGTAAGCCAGACTGTCAAGTTAGTCAGCCATATCCAAGCAAAGGAGGAACCTGAAACCTACTTCTTTCCAATACAATTCCTTGGCCCGAATGAGAACGGCTGGGCCGCTAACCTCTGGTCCGATTCAAACTTCTGGTCCCCAAGCCATCTCTCGGGATGAAACTCGTCGTGCTTGCTGAAGTGAATCGGCGATCGGTTAACGGCCAGGTGGTGAACGCCGACTGAGTATCCGGCAGGGACGAATTGTCCACAGACCATTCTTCCGCCGTCAGGGACCACGCGAGGAAACGTTCCAGGGCCAGGAGGTCCCAGGCGAAGGGCCTCTTGGATGGCAGCGTTGAGATAGCTCAGTCCAGCTGTGCTCTGGATGGTGATGTCGTCTTCGTTCTCAAATGTGTTACGGATCTCTGCAGTGAGCTTGGCCAAAGTTTGCGGGTTCTCGCAGAGGAGGTAGGTGGCTGCGGTCAGACCTGTCGCTGTTGTCTCACTGCCGGCGACGATGAGGACCTGGGCTGCAGCATAGATCTCCTCGGTTGACATGCCCTTCTCATCGCTCCCTTGCAAGATGTAATACACTGTAGATCCTGTCAGAGACCTGCCTTCATTGAACTTAGCTGATGTGAACCTACTGAAATCGGGACGATCGGTCTCTTGCTCAAGGCGGCGGTTCACACGCTCAACTCCAAACTGGAACTGGGCGACCCTCGTCTTGATAAGGCGGCGGGGGATGAGGAGCAGAAGCATCTCAGACAGCGGCGACGGGAATCGGCGGGCAGCACGGAGGTAGGTGCCAGCCTGGAAAATATCAAAGACAGCATGCAGCCACCAGTGCCACTTGGCATCGCGCAGACAATAGAAAGGCTCGCCAAAAGCTAAGTCACCAATAATGTCAAAGGTGGTAAAGTTGTACCAGGAGTTCATGTCCACGACAGCCGCGGACTCTGCGCTCCCACTGGATGCCTGCCCGTGGAGCTTGTGGATGAGAAGCTTCAAATAACCGGTGATGACGGACTCTTGAGCCTTGAGGGCCTTATCCGAAAAGGCAGGATTCTGAAGCCTGCGCATACGCTTGTGGCCGGCATCGTCGGCTGTGAGGATATTCTCGACGCCGTTGACATTCTTGTTCCACCACTGAGCATCTTTCTCAAAGTTACCTGTGCCCTCCTTATTGGGAAACCCTACGTAGGCGTTGCGTTAGGATGACTGAGCGCCAAGACGATACTGATCCCTCTGAACGTACCATATATCGTTTGCCAAGCCTGACCAGAAGTGTAAGACAGCTCGCCGGGGGCGATGCGGACCACCTCTCCGTACTTCTCGTGCCACTCTTTGACCTTCCAGTGGCTTACCCCACGGACATCAAAGAACAGATAGTACGCCCTCGTTACGCCGGCGAGCTTTGGACCGGGGTAGCGGCTAAGTGGGTGTAGGAAGGCATTGTAAAAGCACTTCGCCACCACTCCCAAGAACGCCTGCAAAGTGCCCTGAATCAGTAGTCTGTCTCTGCCGGTCTCATGACATACCTACTGCGAGAGCCAGAAGTCCCAAAAGCGCCATTTCTACTGCCTTGGCCAGTTGTGGTTGGAAGACCCCGCTGGTCGTATTATTGCTTGCGAGGGGTCGTTGATGAAACGATTGGATCAAAAGAGCAACGCGGCAAGTCGAGTCTCCCACGAGAGAGCACGGAGGTTCATACAAGGAATAAATTGGGATGTGGAAAGGACGGCATGGCAACCCCAAAGGACCCCAAAGGGGGGCAATTGTTCGATGATATGACGCATAGCGGTAATCGTCGGATTGCTTTACGCCCGCATCACGAGTCAGATGGTAGGTCCCTATCGAGGAAACGAATCATACGCGGTCCAATTGTGAACTTATCTTTTCCAATTAAGCAATGCTTGAACTTCTCGGTCGATTTGTTCCACTGTTAGCGTAACCCCACGGCCGAAGCATTGGAAATGAGAGCGGATAAGCCCGAAGGTGGTTGAGCTTGCTTCCTTTCTTGGCAGGCCGACGTCGATGCTCATCTTGGCTTCTGGGGTAATCGTGGAGTGTGCCCTGACTCGTCGACAGTCCATGTTAATTTATTATACTTTGACCGAGTGCCGGGCCCGGTTTATCGTGCCGATATGGATAGATACCAAAAGCTTCGATTTGTGGAGTCTTCCTCACTTAGAATGACAAGATTGCATTACTGCGATCCGAGTGGCAAGCTCCTGGCAAGGCAAGCCTCCAACAGTCGTGCAAAGATGCTTAGTCAATGAGATAGTTTACGTAGGATTCTACAGTCGTCGTATACGCAATTATAATCAACTCCATGTATTTATTAGCAACAAGATACACCTGTTTCGAAACCTCCCTATAGCGAGGTGCTTCGAGCGGGCAGTCTGGCTTATCTTCCCCCCACTCCGACCTTCAGACAACCAAGGCGTGCATAGTCCTGGGTGTCGGAGTACTTCTCGTGCCATCAGGCCATGTATGCTAGTTAGTGGAGATTTAGGGCAGCGTTCTCTTGGAGAACGCTGCTGTTAGAAATTCAGAATAAAGGGCAGCTCCGAAAACGAGTTCGTATAGAGATCACCCGTGCCCTCGCGCCAGGCTCTCGGCTGTATCAATATCCGTATGAACCCCGTCAGAAGGAGGTAAGGAGTTACAGCGACGGGGCCGTAATCTGACCAACAGATATCCCAGATGTAGTCTCCATACATGCGCGGATGTGTAAGAGTAGTATGTGACTAAAATGTCTTTCATCTTGATGTTTAGCATGACTTGACTCGGTCTCGTAGAGGGCTCCCGCCGGCATGCAACCGCCATCAGGCGAGCGTCGACCTTGGAATCCGCGCTGCCATCGTGGAGCGTCCAGGATCCCCTGGTCGGTCCAAGTTATCACGAAACTTGATAGGCATAGACTACACGTTTACCTTGCAATCCCACGAGTCGACGACTTTCCACCCCAGTATCAACCTCCGCATCAAATGAACCAATGAGCTAAGCAAGAGTCGTCATCTACGGATAGACCCCGACGGCGTTGGAATGGCAAAACTGCGGGAGCTGAGGGGCCATTACAGTGATTGCTGTCGCGGGGTTCGCGTCGAGACATGTGATATAATACCAGCTAGATCGTCTAGGAGTTCTGCAGAGCTGTCTTCGCTCTTGATCTTTCGTCTCGATCTTTGTCTCCCATCTTACTTTGCTCCAATCACTACGTCTTGCGCTGCGGCACCATATTCAGTATGGGTGAAATGATGATGTCAAATGAGCCCTGGGACTTCCTCAACTCCGTCTTGCGGTTCAGGGACGACGATTCCCAATTCTGGTGGGACAAGACAGGGCGCATGTTTTCCAAGCTCCTGAAATACGCCGGCTACAGCGCAGCAGACCAGTACCGCGAGCTCAACTTTTACTCCCTCTTCGTCGCCCCTGAACTCGGCCCCTCACCAGACTGCCACGGCAATGTCAGGAGATGGAGAAGTCCCGGGACACCAGACTCTACTCCTATCGACTTCAGTTGGGAATGGGGCCGCGACAATCAAGCCGTCGTTCGCTACTCTTTCGAGCCCATCGGCCTCCATGCTGGCACAGAGTTCGACCCTCTCAACAGACACGCAACAAACGACTGGATCTTCAAGCTTCAGCAACAAAAGCTTGTTCCCAACCTGGACCTGGAATGGTACAACCACTTCACAAGACAAATCCTGCCCCATGGCACGCGAACAAAGACCGTGGACTGCTTCATCGAAGAGACAACGCCAAAAGCAGGCACAGTAGTAGCTCTCGACATCGAGAAGAGCGGACCCGTCATGAAGATCTACATCTATCCCGGACTCAAGGCCGAAGAGCTGGGCATCACAAACCTAGAGCTCGTGGAGCAGTCTATTCGTAGCCTCCCAACCGACCAGTTCAAATCACTCGGTGCCGAACCCCTCCTGGACTTCTTGAGAGTAGGCACAAAGAAATACAACTTCGAGACGGGCATCCTCGCAATCGACTGCCTCGCGCCGAAAGATGCTCGCATCAAGGTGTACATTAGAGCAAAGCATACAACCTTCGAGTACATGATGGACTGTCTGACCCTCGGGGGCAAGCTCGATATGTCGGGCGAGGCGATTGACGACCTCAAAGACTTTTGGAAGACCTTCCTGGCAGACGCACCAGATGTTCTTGATGATGATGCCCCGGGACGTGCATCGCCGGGCTTCTACTACACCCTCGGATGCGGTAAAGCGATCTCGCCAAAGGTATACATTTCTCCCAACTATTTCAGCAAGAATGATGTAGATGTTCTTGCTCGTCTCCGCAAGTTCTTCTCTACCCGTCGGTCGGACTCAATGATGGACAATTACGAACAAGCCTTGAATGATATCTTGTAAGATCATCTCAATCCACTCATCGCTTGCAATTGCTAACGAATCCCTTAGTGGGCGCAAGACTCTTGAAACTCGTTGTGGTAGTCATTACTACGTCGGATGTGCTCTGGCCAAGGGTCAATTAAGGGTGGTGACGTATCTCAGTCCCCAGTCGTTTGACTGCGAGAGGGACATGATTCAGGCTCGGAGGCCATGATAATGAGTGATGAGATACTTGGCTGTTGCATGGTGGTGTGGCTATTCTTTATTACTTGATATCCGATATAGTTTATGATATTGATCACTTTCATTTGCTCATTATTCTAAAATATCTGTTAGCATGAATCTGCGTGTCGTAAAGTCCGAGCTCCCCGTCGGGACGAACGTCTGGTCCGTGTTTAGGGGTGGTGTTGAATTTGGTCTTTTAACTTCCGCGTTATCTGCACGATGTCAGCGTACAACATTGTATCACTTCTTGGCAAAACGCTGACAGGCAGAAAATTGACTGGGTTCGTAGATTGAAACACGTGTGACGCAAACAGAATGGGACTCTACGAGAACAGAGTTTGCTGTCATCAAGTCACTGCTTGCAGCTTCCGAATTTTATAAATTCTTGTAGGTAGGGAATCTACGTCATTATTCTATTCCCCATGAGAGTTCTATCTATGTTCTCCCCGTCGGGGCGGCTAGCTCTATCGCCGCTTTTTCCAACAAATCGCACGCTCTCTTGGCACCACCCTGTGCATTGAGCTCCTCTCCAATTCTAGTCGCATTCTCCTTGTAACTTGTCTCATTAAGCACCTTGTGCACTGCATCGCGAACCTGGTCCACTGAGGGAGTATCGGTCTTCAGATCAATACCCGCACCAACCCAAGTCACTCGCGCAGCTGTGTCCTTCTTATCTTCCGAAGTTCCGGCGCAGACAAGAGGAACGCCGTGTGAAAGGGCCTGCGTCACGCTGCCGTATCCACCATTTGTTACGAGTAATCGGCAGCGTGGAAGGAGGAGGTCATAGGGGACCCAATCCGCGATGCGGACGTTATCCTCGATCTCTACCTTGTCGCGAATCTCGTCAACGAGTTTTGATGGCACAACCAGCAAGTGATTCTTATCGCCCTGAAGCGCTTTGATGGCGGGAATGATAAGTGAGGTCGGGTCCATGGCAAACGTGCCCTGTGTGATTCCAATAATGGACTGGGCGTCGAGGACATCTTGCCACCATGTTGGCACACCAATACTTGCACCTGCAAGACGTGTAACCAGAGGTCCGACATACTGAGCCTGAGGAAGAATAGGCTCGGAGCCTTCCTGGAATTCCAGGGAAGGACACGAAGCCTGGATGTGCAGGAAAGGACTGTAAGAATACGTGTCTGTGACTTTCAGGGCAGGCAGTCCGAGCTTCTCCCTCTCGGGGTTGATCGTAGGCAGAACCAGTTGTGGTTGACTGATGAGCAGACCCAAAGCAGATTGAGCAGCATGCTCGATGGGCTCGGGCCCTATGTCGGGCAGATACAATGGGACAACCCCCAGAGTTGCGTAGTGTGGAATCTCGCCCAGCTCGTGGAGCGCTGCGACACCCTGAGGTAGAGCGTCGTTGAGAACAAAGTCCGGCTTGAACGTGTTAAGGACACGGCGGATATCAGCGACTTGCGCCGTGACACGCCCTCGGAACATGACCTCTGCCGTCTCGGCCATATCTTTCGGGTTGGCGCCGTCCAGGTTGGCATCTACTTTCACTACTTCCTCCGCGGCGACGAAGTTCGCCCCCGATGCGAGGACTCGCTGCTCCTGGGGCGCTATGGTTGTCCAAACGACTTCATGGCCACGTTCAACCAACTCCCTGGCGACTGCCTGCATTGGCAGAACATGGCCGGTGGCTGAAAAACAATGCAGCAAGAACTTGAGCGGTTGACGAGTTTTCGTGGTCGTGGCCGTAGCCGTAGCCGTTTCATCTGGTGTTGAAAGGTGCATCGTGTTCATGGGGCGGTGTAGTTGAACAGTGGTATGGCGATGATCTGCTGAATTTGGTGATTGGACGAACACCTGGCATATTGAGCTAGCTTGCAGCACAAAACAGATACACAGAATTATTGCATCTAACAGGTATTATGAACGTATCGATATAATTCAAACTCCAAAGCTCCTAATTCGTTCATCCGAGGCGATTTGTCAACACCAACAACACATTACACGACTGAAGGATAAGATCGCCCGCAATCGACCCATGGCAAGGATAACTCCAGATCGCTATCTTGACATTATCTTTGCAGAGCGCTGGTTGAAAAGTACCATGCGGGTCGAGATACGACGTTACAAACTCATTTATTACCCCGGACATTGGGAACCCACACGCATGAGTCGGCGAGTATCACGAGTCATTGACGTGTTGATGGAGTTGATAACGAGCCGGGGGCTGTTGGGGTAGGTGAACCGGCAGTTGCGATGGAGTCTACCAGCGGAGGGACATTTGGAGGTTACGAGTAAAAGGGTCAGCGACACCGCGCTGGTCACACCAACATGCCAACAAGCTTTCCTGCATCCTTCACAGATCTGTCAAAATGTCCCGAGCTATCGATAGACTTCCCGCTCCCGCAGAGAGCCGTTCGATGAAAATTATTGGACTCGGTCCTAGCCGGTAAGAACTCCCTTATAGCGAAAACACAATATCAAGATTTGGAGTCACGTAACTCATCTGTTTACCAGTACTGGAACTCTCGGTTTATGGCAAGCATTGAAGACTTTGGGGTATACCCCCTTCCACATCTCAGAGCTCCTGCCATATGGCTTTCAGCAGATGAGAGCACTTCAGGAGGCTATCATCGCCAATGACAGCGATAAGCCATTCCAACGAGCTGAGTTTGACAAACTCTTCGCCGGTTATGACGTAAGTTTAGGTGCACCGACTTCAAGAGCTGTTCAGAGGAGCTCATCTGATACTTTACACCTTTAGTGCATCGTCGAAAGTCCTTGTTATCTTTGTCCAAATATCATCAAAGAGTACCTGAAAGACCCAGATGTCAAGTTCATCTTGACAGAGCGTACCCCAGAGTCATGGGCCAAGTCAATCGCGGGATCCCTCGGTGCCTATCATGCAAAGCTAGCGAAGCCGCCTTTATCAATCGCCAGATACTTTGACAGCTTCATCTGGGAGCTGACTGCACTATTCAAAGCCATGACATACAGATGGTCTGGCGGTCTGGAGCCCAGTGACCCTGGGTTCAGTGAAGCACTTTCCAAGAGCTATGTTGAGTAGTGAGTTGTCGTCTTACGCTTCAAAACCACTATACGCAGATGTTGACGATTGCAATAGCTTAGAGGGTGTGAAAGCTCTTGTGCCTGCTGACAAGCTTCTAATCTTGAACCTTGAAAAGGGATTCGGCTGGGAAGAGATTTGCACGTTCTTAGGGAAAGACGTTCCCGAGGAACCTTACCCGCGCATCAACGCCATGTCCGACTTTCATATTGCCGCAGAGATGGTGGTCTCTCCCGCAATCAAGAAGACGATGCGAATTCTCACTTCGTCAGCGGTTGCTATTGCTGGTGTTGGCATTTGGTACTGGCAGAGAAAGAGGTAGCACCCAGGGCCTCAAGCCGGGGAGCTTTTTGCGACGACAACTGTGTAGTCATCAAGTACTTCAATGAGATTCGTGATACCCATAACATAGCTGCGGGGTGTGTAACTCAGAGTTCTGGGATTCGAGGCAATATAACAATAGTATCATTGAACAATTGATTGCAACTGCGTCGTCCACTTATTTTGTACCACTGACCTTGATTCCACGAGAGTAAGAATATCACTTAATCTCATCTACAAATGAGTCAGAACTCATCGAAAATGATATTCATATGTTCTTGCTTGTTCGAGTACCAAAGGCGGCAATTGGCCAGTCTTGGAGTCTATCTGCGACCTTTAGGGTCGTAGGCCGAGACCTCAACTTCGAGCCGCATACCAGGTTGCCCAAGCTTTGAGGCCCCAATACCTGTTAGAATTGGCGCACGGCTAGGAGCCCACTTCTTCATGTTATCTACCGTCCCAACCGCGTTGAATTTGGTCCAATAAGCGAGATATTTGCACATATTACCTCTCTTGCTTGCGCTTACCTTGGCCAGATATTTCAATGTTATCCCCCACTCGGACTGCTTGGCTGTAATGCATCTCCTGTAACAGTTTTTCGCCATAACCTTTGTACGAGAAGTACTGAAGACCCGACATTCTGATGTTGTTGAAGTGAGTAGTTGCGGCAATAGTAGGGAAATGATGCAGACGAGATAGAAAAATCGTGAAACGGTTGGTTTCTTGTCTTTGAAAACAAATCTTGGTGACAAGAAGCTACATGTACTCAATGCTTGCACTTGTATTTTCTGTCGGTCTCTATACTGGCATATTCCTCCTTTATAGACTTTATGTATCCCACTCTCACATGATGCCATGTTCACTCGTACTCACCGCCATGCTCCCTACATGTAAGTAATGTCAACTTAGACATACATCGTTAGTGATTCGGCTAAATTCCCTTAACTGGCTGAGTAATGTTACGACTTTGCGGCTTGCCGAGGCGCGATTGCGCCAAGCGCTTTTCCCTCAACCTGGTCCTGATCAGGTCTTGACCAAGCTTAGTGCTTAGAGATTTGACAGTGGACGAGCAGTCAAGAATTACGTCTTACTAATATTGAGGGACAGTGTTGTTTATACCATCAGGATTCCCTTCAGATTCGGGCAAACCATCAGGCCGAGTTCTTCTTGCGGCGAAGCCAAGCAGCGAAGGAAGCGGAGCAAATTTTCAGCGCACCTTACAGGCTACCTTGGCTATGGATGCACGCGTGCTCTGTGGCCTATGATGACTTTCTATTCGTCACCCTTAGCGGCATTCCATCAGCAGAGGGGAATTCGACGGTCAATTTCCGGCCTACGTATTTAGAATTTAGGTGTAGACTCACTGCAGTCGTCCGCCCAGATCCCGTTCATTTCGCCATGCTTGTCCTACGTCGCTTCTGTCAGGGAGATGACCTGTCTAAGTCGGTTAGGATAGAGTGAGACAGAGTTTCACCTTTTGGGTTGAAGATCTGCCTTCCACGGGCCGAGCACTGGCGCTGAGGCCTTGGAATCGTGGCGCAATCAACACGGGAGGAGTGGATTTGTAAACGTTTCTGTCATTCAGAGAAGCTAGCGGCACCCCATAGGCCCCATTGATCGTGAGAAATCTGAGCCGGCGCCATAGGGGTCATGCGTCAGACCTCAACTTATGTTCTATCCACAAATCGGCGATGCGGCCGGACTTCTAGATAACCTTTGGCGCCCAAGATACTCTTGACGTGCGGGCCTACCAGATATCACGTCCAGAACCTCCAAATTCTCATTGACGCCAGCGCGATACCAGGCACAGCTACCGGTACGATGAGATACCTGATGGTCCTCACCGCAGCCTCCTCACCGCAGCCATCAGCCCTCTCTTTACCTCCTCTGTAGGAAATTCCGCACCCATAGCTCGAATTTTTTGCCATCATTAAGATGTGGAAAAGGCTTGTCTGGGATTTCCTTGTCGAGGAACTTGCACAATGGCCCCCATCCCAAGCTAAGCTTCTTCTGCCATCGCGTTTGATTGCTGCAGCGAAACATTGTGTATTGTAGATCCCTTGCTTGTAACAGTAACGGGCTTCAGCGTCTGGAGAGGCTCGATAAGATTAAGCACAGCCCATATCTTCCAGGCGAAGAAATATCTGATGGCATTTTCGTCATATGACTTGTACCATCTATCCAGATCTCGGTCGACAAGTACAACTCTGGCCTTGATAGCGAGATGAGTCAGTCGATCCTTGGGGTTGGGATCGGAGTGGCTCACCTCAGGATAAGTCTGGAGAAGCTCCTCTACGACCCGATCGCCGGGTTATCTGAGACAACAGCCCAGTCTCCTACCAAATCATTGAAATCTAGGGTCGCAAAGAGCTTAAACTTTCCGTAGTACTTTGCTTGGACTGCGTCGAACCAAGGGAGATGATCTTGAGGTCTTCAGATATAAACGAATCCGTGGTATGTCGGTATTCCAAGCTCTTCATATGCGGCTTTCGTGGAAAAGCTACCCGTTCGAGGAAGACTTATGTGCAAGACTTTGAAATTGGATCTTTGAGCTATGCTGAGAGCCATTTCTGAGCGCATGCAGCAGAAAGCATTGAGATGCTCGAGAATGTGAACTACAAGGTCTTGGGGGAGCAATTGTTTTTTTCACGTAAAGCTTCTGCGCCGCGCCTCATTGCCTACGGGCTTCTGTAAGCTGACTGCAGTTCAAGAGTTCTATATGAAAAGACCACAATAGCTATGCGCCATAAGTCGTCGGGTGACCTTATCTTTGATGCTCGTTCCTAATCGAGGTTCGCTTGCGTTTCTTCAGTTGTTCTGTCCAATCATAATCAGTCGACCCTAAACATCGTGACGTAGTACACCAAATCTTCGACGCCAAAGCGCTTGATATCATGCATGCCGCCATTTGTGTCAATCCGATCACACTCACGCTGCGGGTTCCAGTCTCTGAGGCTCCAGTTTTAAGGTCATTATCGTCCATCCAAGTATTTAGACACGAGAGACGTACAGGAGTTGGCGGGATGAAACCAGTCTCCTGTAAGCAGCATCTAATTGCTCCAAATCAACCCGTTTTGATTTGCAACTTCGGATGTAAAACACATTAAGATTACATGTTTTGGGTCGCCTCTCTTCATAGGAAGTAACAGTCGATTATAAATGTGTTGACTACGATTCTTCGTTAGTTCTGTGACATTTTTCTTTTCCCATATGCGAAAGCCAACAACCTTGATTCGTTAGTGGACTTTGGTGTGGATTATTTTTCAGAAAGTGCCCCGAGGCGCACTCACGCCATAGAAAAGACTTCAAACAAGGCCTAAATTCAGGTTCCGTCTAAATCCGATACAAGGAAGCGTTCACCTGCCTACTTTTGTGAAGTACGTCGAGACTTTATCTTGACAAACATACTTTACCTTGACAGGTTCCTTGCACGTGACTTAAACTCTCTTAGAACCTTGGTGCCCGCATTGCAGCCGAATCAGGTGCTCGCTGAAAAACTCCTCATCCTGAATCACTGCAACATACGTTACCCAGCTTCTCTCACAAGTTTCATCTTATCCTTGACTTGGTCGATCGCTTCCATTTCCCATGACCAATTAGAAAATCAGCGCACCAAAACATCATGTCGCCATCTTCTACGCAGCAAGACGCCGAGGAACTGGTCCCGACCGCGCAGTCATGGCATCAATATGAGCCAACGACCAATTCTTGGGAAACAGTCGAAAACCACGGCGTCAACAATCCTTCACCATTCTTACCTCAAGATACTACCGAATCAAGCTCTCATTTTGTTCTCGCCACGTGGAACGTGGAGGCATTCGATCGAGAGCCTACCCGCCGCATCACAGCAATTCTCGACCATCTTCTGAACCATTCGCCCTCACCCGATGTGATCTTCTTCCAAGAAGTGTCGAGAACGATGCTGAGTGCGTTGCTGAATAACAGCACAGTTCGCGACAATTGGTATTCCAGCGAAAAAGACTCACGAAACTGGATAGGTGCTCCTCTCACGGCTTTCGCTACAATGACTCTCCTATCCAAGGCCAAATTTGGTCACTTCGGTAGGGCAGCTCTGGCGGGGCTGGGAAGGGTCTCACGAATCAAGTATCGGTCTTTCTACAGACGAGACGCACTGTGCAGTGAGGTGTTTGTACCATCGCGGCAGCTGGGGACTCAGATGACCACATACAAGCGGCTCCAACTTGTCAACGTGCATCTAGACTCTCTATCCAACGGGGCAGCATGCCGTCCGGCTCAACTCCAGTGTGTTGGATCACTTCTACACGATGTTGGCCATGGGCTGGTAGCGGGAGACTTCAATCCTGTCACTCCACATATCGATGCAAGCCTGGTAGAAGACAATGACCTCCTCGACGCGTGGAAGGAGTTGAAAGGCGAGGAGAATGGGTACACATGGGGAGTTAATGGTACCGAAAAATTCCCAGCGAACCGGATGGATAAGGTTGCGATGGTGGGGCTCAGACCACTGCATATCGAAGTTTTGCATCCGATGCAGGTACTTTTGCCTGGCGAAGATGGCTCTGTTCCATGGAGCGACCACTCCGGGCTCAAGTGTACTTTCACGCTTGCCTCACCTTAAAGAAGCCAAATTGCAGAGGCTAGAATTATCCAAATAGTCATAATGTCATACATTACTATCGCAAGAGTCCCTTGGGTCTCACAATGTTTTCTCTACTTTGAACGTCCTGTGCTCTGGCTGCGTCAGCGCTAGCACCGGTGTGAGCAATAAGCAATGTAGCTGCCTGGAAGCCCCCTCACAAGTAAATTGACGACGAACCGTCATAGAAGACGAAGCTTATTGGCTTACACCTGGCTCCCTAGAGAAATTCTTCAGTCTTTGCCTCAATCGTTGGCTGACTTGACTTTCCTCTCACGACTCTCATACAATTCACTCCCGCGACTATCAAAAAAATAAAAAGTCAACACGACCCGTGTCAGCTGGTTTCCCTATAAATTCCTTGTGGAGACTGTATTCATTGAGACTCTCTGACATCTACTGTGTGCCTCATCATGGAGCATCTTCCGATACCCCGCGACCCAATTGGTGAACATCCGACGATAGCATTGGGCACCAAACAGTTCCACGAACCTGGGCCTTTTCTCGACTACCCGACACAGCACGGCGAGGTTCTCAACGCACAGTATCCACATGTTGCCACTCAAGCCGATGCCCTTCAAGGGCGGTTCACAGCCGGAATATCGCATATGCAGGTTATTGACTATTACCAAGGCTGGTTGTTCAGTTCCTTGCTTCAGGAGTTTCTGGGAGACCTGTATAAATGGCAAAAATATACGTCTTGGACATACGGCGATCAACAAAAGCTCGAGACTATCAGCCTATCTACAAAGACTTTGCACGAAGACCTGGCATCGTTACGCGCAAGCGGGCCGCTGGCATCCATCCGAAGCGATGATGCATATGATAAGCACCTAAAAAAATGCTTGGATCAAGCATTCGAGGCCTTTGATGAGATCGAGTTCAGATTCCCAGGCTTCTCGGCGGCCTTTGCCAAAGAAATTCTGTGCCTGGCCAGCTTGGCTGAGACACTAGACTCTGCGGTCCAGACGGCCCTCGTTCACGGACCAGTCGCTGGTAAGTTTCGCACCCTCGAATAACAGCTGGCAAGTTCCAGACCCTGGAGCCTATGCTGATGCGACCTCTTCACACAGAAATAGACCGAGGTGTACAGCACTTCCCAGAGTCAGCGAAGCGCCCCTGGTTCTCCAAGGTTGCCTCCTTGCTTCATCTATCTTCGGGAGACAATAAGCTCGCAATGATCAAGGCCGGCTGGTGCCCTGGTGATATCACTAAGATCGGCGAAAGCTTCAACACCATCGCCGCGTTCTACTACTTTAGCAAGTTCAAGGCGGATTCCACCGTGGCAGACTTACACAAAGACTGTCCCGAATACGGCTGCGGTCTCAGAATACCGGCAGAGCCTAAACACATCAGCAAGGGTTGCAACTGCCCGGGAATGGTTTCGTTTGATGAAGAAAATCTCATAGACATTTACCAGAAGGGCGATGTCCCTTGCTTTTCTATCGGAAGGCTTGAAGACGGCAGTTTGGGCATCGCTCTCAGTTCCTGCAGCATTGACGAAGAGTCGCAAAAGGATCCCGATAATCACTACATCGCTCTCTCACACGTATGGTCAGAGGGTATGGGCAATCCGACGGCGAATGCCCTACCCTTTTGTCAGCTGGCTTACGTACAACACTGGGCAATGATGGCATACCAAGTTGTGGAAGAGAAAGAAGCAGACGAATCAAAGGACGGCACGGGGATCATGATCCAAACGAAACCCAAAATACGCCAGCTTAATATCTGGATTGACACTATGTGTTGCCCCGCGACTCCGGGATACGGAAAGAATCTCTGCCTCTCCATGATGCGAGAAATCTACTCAAACGCCAATGTTGTCATGGTGAGAAGCGCAGTGCTTGAAGCTTTGAAGATAGGCGACATTGTACGGGATCCCTCCAAAGGGGTGATGGACGTTGCAGCACAGCTGTACCTATCTCCTTATATGCGCAGGATGTGGACATTACAAGAGGCAGTCCTAGCTGGAGCTTCTAGAGCTCGAGGCATCGGCGATCGGCTTTGTCTGTCATTCGCCGATGGCATCCTCTCGCTGGAGTCAATCATCAATCTTCTGAAGCAAGCACCCCAACAAGAGGCCTTGTTGGCATACCGCTTCATGGCAGAATTTCGCGACCTCAGCACTCACATGTGGCAGCTAGGGGATGATCATGGCGACAAGCCAATGAAGCACAGTCTGAAGGGATTTGACTTCTTTTTGAACATGCTCACTGTCGCTTTGAAATACCGCAACGTCACGGTTGCGTCCGACGAGATGATCTGCTTGGCCACCCTGCTTAATCTGCGTATCAACAGCACACGGGGAGTCGTACCTCTCATTGGTCATGGACAGACTCCCGAGGAGGGCATGTGTGAGTTGTGGCGGAGGCTCCAGGCCCTCGGTGGTAGTCTGCCATCTGACCTTATTTTCTCCTCTGTCCCGCGCGTTCAAGTACCAGGATATCGGTGGGCACCCGCAACTCTTGTCCAGTACGCCAAACACGGCAATCTCTATGTTTCTCATTCCAGTGCGTATCCGGCGAAGATTTCCGACAAGGGTCTACACGTGAGGCTTCCTGGGGCGCGACTCAGGAGTCTGGCTACCACTGCTGGTTCATTCGGCAGGTTATTGCCAAAGGTATTCGTGAATGACGGGAAGCATATCCATTCGGGAGATGAGACCGCACCCCCTTCTGTATTCTTGGCAAAGCTACAGGCAGATGAAGACAAGAATGGGTGGTTTGCTGTCAGAATTCACAAGGGCGAGAATGACACCCAGAAATCCGGATCTGCACCTGCAGAATCACGCTCCGAATCAAGTCAGAGGCCAAGTCTTCTCCAACTCCTCGGTAGCGGGTCTGCAGCGCTGATATACCAAAATGCCAGCATCAGCGGGCCAGGTCTACTCGTTTCCATTGCATCGCAACCGTCAGACCCGAGCGCTCTCGACATCTTGAGTCTGGCTCAGGAGCCCTTGCAGACCACAAGCGAGTTCCCGGTAAGGATAATGCCTCTCGGTAGCGGTACCAACATTATTGCTGAAGCAGCCAACAATTGTGTCGAAGAGCTGAACCGAAGGGTTGTGGCTGAACTAAGACAGCGGGCAGGCGGGGATACCGTTGAGAATGTCTGGGAAGATGCGAATGTCATTGCCGAGCTATTCAAGCAAACGGCCGAGAGAACTGTGGAAGAGTCCAGTGCAGCCTTGAAAGAAGCCTTGTATTTCGAGGTGTTGTCTACGAAAGCCTCTGCCACTTCCGAGGCCGCCATCGAGCGCTTCATGCAGTACGTGCGCCAGGTGGCGTACTTTGGCGGCGGTATAAGGTGCGAGTCTTATCCGGAGGACCAAGACTGGTATGTGGATTGATCCTGGTCTGGATCGGGATTAGGCCTTCGCGGGGTTGGTGGCATTACTACCTCGCAGGCAGAGCTTGTGTCCCTTTGGACTGGATGAAGATCTTATTCGGCGCTCTCCAAAGCACATATGCGAAGAGTGACGAGGGATACTATGAGTTACCTTCATGTAATTCTGTTACTTAGGTGGGCGAGATCATTGTTGGAATCGATTCTGATGTTGATCGAAGAGGGGCCCTTCGCGCGGGCGTTGAACCTGGTTTCCAACTTGATCTAGCCTCAACGGAAAGGCTCACTCTTTGAATCTAAACTACTTAGGTATCTTAGGTAACCCGAGTGCCCGAGTGGGGAATCTACGTGTTTATGTCACAAATGGGAGGTCTCTTGTACCCCTGTCTTGAGGGTGGCGGCTGCTTGTGGCTTTAAGACAACTAGATAGCCGAGAGAGAGTAATGGTCGGCCAGCGGGGCCACGGACAATTACGCCGTATCATTAGGTACTTTGAACATGCCCATGACGTTTCAATCACGGAAACAGATAACCTCGTTTGAGACATTACTTACTTTACGGGTGGCTTGGCAGATCGGCGAGATTGGATCGCGTGCCCGGTCACGATCCGGAGGAGCTTGCTCAATATCGTATCTCCAAGATGCACATTAACTAAAACATGTGACTGCAATTCTTAGATGGTCCGAGTGAAAGATGGAGTTCCCAAGCTTTGACACAGGGTAAAAGATTATCTAGTTGTACATTTACGCTGGGTCAATTATTACGTATATGATATTGATGGGTAGAGCCCTGGCAAGAGAGGTCCTCATCGTTCGGGGCGTTCGGCGAGAATACCCACCATCTCCCGAAAGTCTGGTGCTCGTTACACGAGTCTTTGAGACATTCAAATGTACGAGTCATCCGAGTTATCCGCGAAAATCTTCATTAATAGTGAATGACTTTCTCTACTTGCTTTCACTACCCCTTCAAAGTAGGTAGGTACATCAATCGCAACCGGCCATGCAAAGGCCACCGCCTCAACCCGACGTCTCTGTAGCTTGTGCCACACCCATGGCTTCCACGTATGGCGTATTGGAATTAGATCTACTCCTTTCATTTCCTCCCACAAAGCACTCGCATGGAGTATTGGCTGGCTGCCGAGCCATAAGGTCTTCCATCTTCTGCGCCCTAATCCAATCGGTTTGCCCAATGAAGACATTCAGTAGGCGATCAAGTCGAGACAGACTGATCTGGGCCTTGAAGATAACACCGCATGTCCATTCCTGTCAGTCTTAACAGCCCCCCAACGATTGGCTAACATGAACCCCATTGTTCCTTTTGCTATGGAAACGGCTGCTTGGGGCCCATCTGCAAGCGGGCAAATAGATGGCAAAGACTTGGCGATAGAGAATGAAATGGTTGATGTGGTCGAGGTGGTCATAGATCCGCCCAGACATCTCCGCCTGGATTTCACCGAAACGATTTGAACGCATGTAGAATGGCCATTTCGACGATCGCTCTCTCTGAAATCGATTCTGTTGACATTTGATGCTTCTAGCTTTTTATCCTTAATGGAGGAGGCGTATCACTCAGGTCACGGAAGAGTGATCCTGGGAAGACTTTTGGGAGCTTTCCAATCTTTCGCCCATCAAGGACCGAGTCTTGGGGTGTCAAATACCTAGTTCTTAAATGAACATGTCGAAAATTCCGGGCTTATGGCAGC